AGGAGAACTCTCCACCTCGGTCAGAGTGCAGACGCAGAACAGGAAAGTCCGAGCCGAAGCTCCTCCTGAGCTGGAGACGAGCTGCGCGGATCCAGTCGATCAACACCTCAGTGACATCACCCTTGCTGCGCAAGGGGAAGACTGTGGTGTAACGCGAGTAGTCGTCAACCACCAGCAGGAAGTAGCGCTCGTGACCCTGCCCACGGACGCGGGCCGGGCCCCACACGTCCATGTGAAGCGTCTGCAGAGGAGCCTCTGTCGGGGGAAACTGGGAGGAGTGAGGGGCAGCCCGGAGCCGCCCCTCGACACAGGGGACACAGGAAGGTCCGGGTCCCGAAGGAAGGGGAGGGAGAGACCGGGGAAGACCAGAGACAAGGACACGGGAAGCCATGCCCCGAAGACGAGGCAAGGAGGGGTGGCCAAGACGGTGGTGCCACAGGAGGGTCTCCTGAGACAGGCGGCGACACGAGCAGGGGGCAGACTCAGGACCAGACCTGGACGCAGCAGCAAACACCTGACCCGACGCAGCTACCTGGCCAGACGCAGGGACAGGAGGAGACTCAGTGGTCAGGGTGTAGAGACTCGACCCCGGCCGACGCGAAAACGTGGCCAGGTGTCGGCCTGTGCGGGCGTCCGAGCAGTGGGTCACCCGCTGACTCGCAGGAGTAAACTGGTGAACCCCCGCATCCTGCAGGTCAGCACCACTCACCAAGTTCGTCGAGAACGAGGGGAGGTACAGACCAGACAAGGTGCCCGAGGGGGCAGCCGGACACGGGAGGACAGTGGAGAAGTGAGAGAGGACAGGACCCCCAGAGGGGTCAGCCAGGGAGACTGCAACCGGCCGGCCAAGCGGCGTGAGTGTGGTGCGGTCTCGAAAGAAGGAGCGAGAAGCCCCTGAGTCAAGCGTGAAGGTGAGGGAGGCCGAAGCCGACGCAGTACCTGAGAGCGCAGCCTCACCAGTACCTGAGAGTGCAGACGCACTGGCACCTAGAGCAGCAGCCGCAGAAGTACCTAGCGCAGCAGTACCAATGCCCGGGTCGGGCGGGAAACACCGGTAACAGTCACCCTCCTCACTAATAGTCACAGCATACATGGCAGCAAGGATAGCATCAAAGTCAAGATCAAAGATAGCTACGCCAGCCCTAGACAGCTCTCCCCAACGGGGAATCTCACTAGCCTCGGGGAACTGCTGACGCCAAGCGTCCGTCAGGCGGCCAAAGCAGCGCTGGGTGGGGTGGGCACCCCCACACTGCTCACCCGCGCGGTCGCCGGAACGAAGGACGTAGGTGCACGGACCAAAACCCCCACCCCGCTGACGCTGCGTGTACCACTCACGGAGCTGCTGGGGCGGGGGGATGTCCCGCGAACGCTGCTGCTGCTGCTGCTGCTGACGCTGGCCACCACCAGAGCCGCTACGCTGCGGGGCACCACCCCGACCAGCTCCACCCCCTCCGCCACCGCCGCCTCCACCTCCACCACCACCGCTGCCTCCGCTCCCACCGCTGCCGCCACCACCGCCTCCTCCTCCGCTGCTGCCACCGCCACCACCGCCCCCGCCACCACTCCCACCGCCACTCCCACTCCCTCCGCCGCCTCCACCGTCACCTCCACCGCCCCCTCCAGTTCCACCCGCGCCCTTGCCCCCCTTGCCCCTGCCAGGGCGGCGTCTCCCGCTAGGGGCAGACGCCGCGCAGACCGACTCAAGACCAAGCAGGTCGGCAGCAGCAGCAGAGGCAACAGAGGGCAGCAGGGGGGAAGGAGAACACCCCTCAAAGATGGGGGTGCGAGGGTCACCACGAGAGGCTCCTACAGCGACGATGCTCTTCTCCGCCGCCAGGAGGGACTTCTCGAGGAGATCGACAGTGAGAGTGGTGGGACAGACTGAGAGGAAGTGGTCCCTGACTACGTGAAGGGAGTCAGGGAGGCGTGTGACTATGTAATAGAGAGTGATGTACATGGGGGGGGGGTTCTTGGCGCAGAACTCAGCAGGAAGGGCGGCGCGGTAGCGAGTGTCACTAGTGCGGAGGTGCGTAATGAGGTCAGCGACAGTGGGAAAGGCAGCAAGGTCAGGAAAGAGGTACGGTAGCATGAGGCGGCTCAGGGCAGCAGTGGCAGGGGAAGAGTAGCGCGCAACTACAGCGTCGTACAAGGTCTGAGCACTCTTGTACTGACTAAAGTGCGCGCGCTCAGTGGTAGGCAGGTGGCGACGCACAGCAAGACGTGCAGCAGCATCGCGGGTGGCCCACTGAGAGCGAACAGTGGGGTCAGCATCAGCAGCAGGGGCAGGAGAGGCGCCAGAGGTGAGGTCAAAGAGGGAAAGACCGTCCGTCCTATCGCACTGTAAGAACAGCTGCAGGTCGTCGACCCAGACCTCAAAGTCAATGGCTCGACCCTCAGCGTCAAAAGCGAGGACACTAGGGGTAGCCATGACGACGACAGTGTAGCAGTGCAAGCAGTAGGGGAGGGGCACGCAGTAACAGTGGTGCTGTGCTCACCAGGCAGGGCAGGTCGGGCGGCTCGGCAGTAGGGCGGCCCGGCGGCTGGGCGGCTCGGCGGCTCGGCTGCTGGGCGGCTCGGCTCCCGGGCGGCTCGGCGGCAGGGCGGCTCGGCGGCAGGGCGGCTCGGCGGCTCGGCTCCCGGGCGACTCGGCGGCAGGGCGGCTCGGCAGCAGGGCGGCTCGGCTCCCGGGCGGCTCGGCTGCTGGGCGGCTCGGCGGCAGGGCGGCTCGGCGGTCGTAGGCGGCGGGGCCGGTGAGGATAGGCGGCGGGGCCGGTGAGGATAGGCGGCTGGGCCGCGAAGTGGGGCGGCGGGGCCGCGTAGGTGAGGGCGGCGAGGCCGCGAAGGCAAGGGCGGCGAGGCCGCGTAGGTGAGGGCGGCGGGGCCGCGAAGTGAGGGCGGCGGGGCCGCGTAGGCAAGGGCGGCGAGGCCGCGACGTGAGGGCGGCGAGGCCGCGAAGGCAAGGGCGGCGAGGCCGCGTAGGTGAGGGCGGCGGGGCCGCGAAGTGAGGGCGGCGGGGCCGCGAAGGTGAGGGCGGCGGGGCCGCGTAGGCAAGGGCGGCGAGGCCGCGTAGGTGAGGGCGGCGGGGCCGCGAAGTGAGGGCGGCGGGGCCGCAACGTGAGGGCGGCGGGGCCGCGCAGGTGAGGGCGGCGGGGCCGCGTAGGCAAGGGCGGCGAGGCCGCGACGTGAGGGCGGCGGGGCCGCGACGTGAGGGCGGTGGGGCCGCGTAGGTGAGGGCGGCGCAACGGGCCGCTAGGGGCGACACGGAGGGTCGCTAAAAAAAAGAAAGCGCGCCTCGGGGCGCGCTTCGGTGGGCCCTAGAAACAGTCCCTAGGAGGGGACCTGCTCTGATTCCATGAGAAAAGGAGAAAGCGAATGGATGAACTATGAATGAAGTGAGTACATATAGGAAACCCTAATTGGGTTGTACCCCCTATGGGATACCCCACAATAGCCTACACAACAGCATAAGCTATATATATGTTCTGACACATCCACCTTCTATCGCGAGCGGTACGCGCTCCCCGGATTTAGTTTTATTTAACCATTATAAGGGTTTTTTTTTTGTGGGTTCCAAATTGTCTTTGGGCAGCTTGCTGGTTGACATCGAACTTCCCTGCCACGCAGTATCATCCTATTGGGCATTTCTCTCCTGACAGTGTGGAAGTCGGTTCGGCGAGCGTGTGGCGCGTCCAGGTTCGGCAATCAGTTTCGGTTCACAACAGTGGGGGAATGGAGGCTTGTGGGGTTGAACGTGGCGACACAACACTGGCCAGTGTTATTTAACCATTCTATCGGGCGTGCCAGGCGCATCTACAGAGACGTTACCGTGAACCTGCGCTACACAACTTCATCTGTCGGGCGACTCCGTCGAATTCTGTCGTTCTGAACAAGCTTCCACGTGCGAGTACTTGCGACAGACACGTCATGCAAGAATGCATGCGAATCGTTGTGTTCGCGGCGGCTTCGCGAGTTTCTGAACGGTGCGTTCCTATTTCCAATTTTCGCGCCACTTTTACCTATACATGCCACTCGTATGGGCGTGATTGGGTATAATGTGTTCAGAATCTGGTAATAAACGCGCCGGCGATCATAACACAATTCATTCGCCGCGATTTCTGACGATACGCACCGGTGGCAACCACTGCCAGGATTATGCCACCTGGGACTGACAATTGAATTGTTGTCGTTCTGAACTCTGTCGTTCTGAACTAGCTTCCACGTGCGAGTACTTGCGACAGACACGTCATGCAAGAATGCATGCGAATCGTTGTGTTGGCGGCGGCTTCGCGCGTTTCTGAACGGTCCGTTCATATTTCCAATTATCGCGCCACTTTTACATATACATGCCACTCGTATGGCCTTGATTGGGTATAATGTGTTCAGAATCTGGTAATAAACGCGCCAGCGATCATAACACAATTCATTCGCCGCAATTTCTGACGATACGCACCGGTGGCAACCACTGCCAGGATTATGCCACCTGGGACTGACTATTGAATTGTTGTCAGGGATTTCGAGTCCATCATACTCCAACACCAGATGCAGTTCTACATGGCGTAATCATGTGCCGCGTCTCGCCGTTAAAAAACCCGGGCAGCGGATGATCATCTACAAATTGCGTGTGGATAACCTAGGTGTTGTATCAGAGCCACAATGGAGGAACCTCCGGCTAATGGCCGTGACATGTATGACATTATCCTGGAGCAGTTCGACATAGAGTTTGAACCCGAGGAGGGGCCTACTATCAATGACAACGCTGCCATTCAGGAGGATAACTGGTACTCCTCGCGGGATCATTGCCTCTTTGCCTTGCTTGATGATGCGGTAGTGCATAAATACGGTTTCTACATGAAGTCTACCAGAAGGGCATCGGCGCTAGCGTTGTGCAAGAGTCAGAAGCTTGGGTTGGACCCCCCTTGTCCATGGCGGTGCAGCTACGCTCGTCTCGAGCGGAACGGACCGTGGCGAATCGTTGAGTTGTCCGATCCCGCAGAGCACACATGCGACCGTGTCTACCGGACCCGGTGGTGGCCCGGTATGGGACGTAAAAGGAAGTACCTTTGGCGGAAATTCGGGAACTTCGTCCGTGCAGCGCCGTTCAACGCCCCTTGGGACTACGTCAGGCAGATTACGGCATGCTCTGGTCCGAAGTTAACTTACGACAACGCTTACCGGTGAGCGTACACCCGTCATAGGCCGAACATCAAGGGAGCTTTTCTTTTAGCGACTGTGTTGCCTCCACTTCACTCATTTCCCGATACCACCCATACATTCCACCCACGCAGGCTGAAGGTAGGCATCACGGCGCAGCGATTCGGCGACTGGTGCGAGTCATTCCGCTACATTCCGGCGGTGCAAGAGCGCATTCGGCAGATCGACAGCGGAGCAACCGTGGAGCTTTTGACTTACAACCACGAATTTCTCCGCTTCTTCATGGCACCGAGTGCAACACGCGAAGCACTGAAGACGTGCAGGCCTGTCATCGCACTGGATGGGACTTTCCTGATCCGTGCTCAGAAGGCTACTCTGCTGTACGCCAACGCGATGGACGGCAATCAGCAGATCATCCCCATCGCGTGGGCGCTCGTAGAGAGCGAAACCAAGGACACATGGACTTGGTTTTGCCGGCTCTTTGATAAGCACTGCTCCGACTGGAAGGGACGGGACGACGCGGCCATCATCAGCGACCGGGACAAAGGTCTCATCCCGGCGGTGAAGGAAGTGTTCCCTGAGAAGGTGGCGCACTACTTCTGTGGGTGGCACATGCAGCAGAACGTGAAGCGGTTCGGCAAGACTTCCGCATACATGATATGGCGGCTGTTGACAGCCCGGTCTTTGGACAAGTACAACGAGCTCAAGGTCGGTGCACGTGAATCCCATCCCCTGCTCACGACTTACCTCTACGGTACGGCGCCTGTGCCCGACGCGCCTGGGCCAAACCCCACTCCACCAGCTGGCCTTCGTATTCGCCGACGCAACGTTCAGCAAACACGCCGGACGCGTGCGACCGCCAACAACATTGCGGCCGAAGCGGCTGAAGCACGGCGCCGTGCTCGCCAAGCACAGTCGCAGCGACGCGGCCGCCGACAGAGACAGAGCGGCGCAGGACGCCCACCTCCGAATGCCGCGGCGGCGGGGCATTCAGCAGCGCCCCGCCACTCCGCGGCACCGGCACCCGCTGCTGCTGCCCGCCCGTCCGCGGCACCTGCATCATCCGCAGCGCCCGTCCCATCTACAGCGCCAGGGCCGTCCGCAGCGCCCCGCCCGTCCTCAGCACCGTCGCCGGCTTCTGGGAACCGCCTAGCCGCAGCCCATGCATCGTCCGCAGCGCCGAGCCCATCTGCAGCGCCAGGGCCGTCCGCATCGCCCCGCCCGTTCACAGCACCGTCGCCCGTTGCTGCGAACCGCCCAGCCGCAGCACATGCATCGTCCGCAGCGCCGAGCCCATCTGCAGCGCCAGGGCCGTCCGCAGCGCCCCGCCCGTCCACAGCACCGACACCCAATTCAGCTCCACACACATCCGGGGCTCCTGCATCATCCGGGCCGGCATGCCCATCGGCAGCGCCAGGGCCGTCCGCAGCGCCAGCCTCTTCCGCAGCGCCAAGCCCACCCGCAGTGCGGAGGCCCTCTGCAACCCCTGGCCCGGTGGCTACTGAAGGACCATCCGGAACGCCGTCACCATCCACTCAGTACGACCCATCCGCTGCAACAGGTTCGTTTGAACAACGGTTTGTCAATGCGCCCCTCCGTTCTTTAGTACCATGATATGTGTGGTCGTAACGCCTACATCCACGATGTGATCTTTACATATTTGTGTCAAGGTCTCATACATGAGAGGCCGTCTTAAATTGATAGGGTACTGCTCATTTGGTGCCGCAAAACACACAGCCATACATTTTTTTTCCGTGTCTCTATTGCACCCCATCATGCAGGAACAACCGCACCATCCTTTTCACAGCCGGCGCCGACTCCACTTCGACGATCTTCACCGATAGTCGTGCCGAGCGGCTGGCGAGGAACAGCTGCGTGTTTTAGCTTTCGCAACATTGTTCTGAGAGCTGCGGTCCCGGGAGTCAACTCACCAACTCAGGCACCAAACCGAGAGCCACCACCGACCGCGGCACCCACCCGCCAGCCACCACCGACCGCGGCAGCCACCCGTGACCCTCCTCCTCCCACCGTGGACCCGGGAACGGCGCTTGGGAACACCAACGAGGAGAGGCCTAGCGTTGTAGAAGACGAGGCGACCGTCGTGGAAGAGGACTCCCTGGAGGACGGTGAGGATGGTGTGCGCGTCCGATCAGGCCTTCGCGGTGATTACACAGCACGCAGGAACAGAATCTGGGTGTACGAGAAGCAGTGGGCTCGATGTGCGGCACCAACGAGAAGATTCGGCATCTACACGAGCAACATGGCGGAGTCGACCAACGGGGCCGTAAAATCCATCCGGCGCCTGCCACCCGCGTATCTGTTAGCATCAATGTGGGACTACAACGTCAAGAAGTTTCATGAGCGGCGTGAGGAGGCTAGAGCCCGGAATGACTACTTTACGGAGTGGGGGAGAAAACGGTATGAGGAGAAGTGCGAGCGGGGAAAGAACTACGAGGTGAAAATCTCCAACATCGAGTTCTTCGCGGAGGTGATAAACAACGGCAACGTGACAGACCCAACCCCACGCAGCTACAACGTCGACCTACGTGGCGATGGTAGCTGTGAGTGCGGCAATAGGAAAGAGTACGCTTTTCCGTGCGCACATGCCATGGCGTTTTTCCCCTGGGCAAACAAGAACGGGTGGGAGTATGTCAGCGACTACTACACCACAGTCAACCTCCGCCGCACATACTCACACACCATTCCCGGGACCTGCATCGACACCCTGATGGCACAGACAACACCTGTGCCTCAGGGAGTGTGTGACGCACCTACATTCACTCGTAGGGGTCCTGGCCGTCCCCCTTCCTACAGGCGCAGGGATGCTCCGCCGGCGAACTATCGCTGCAGAACCTGCTTGGGGCCTAACCACAACTCAGCGACCTGCACCCAGAAGTATGGATCCGACAGGGCTGCTGGAGGTGTTTACCACACGTTAGGGTGAGTTTAGCTAGAATTTAAGCACCTGGTAATCGTACTAGACTTGGTGCACTGAGCTGTATAGTCGACACCTAGTACAGTGGCCGTGAAGAATAATCAATGTAGCTTCCATGTGTAATTCATCAGCTACTTTGCCCACTTCTGTAGGTGTTTGAACTTTGTAGATGTTGAGAATGTAATATGGCGCCGAAAAAATTAGAACAAGGGATTCGGGAAACATATAACAAACTGTCAGAGGTCCACTGGTGATCCCCGATTGATCCTAGGGAAGGGTTACAGGCACGTTGGCCTGGGGGGTTATGGGCGCACTGACCCGCTACTTAAACAAGCCCTTTTATCCCAATGGTCTAGTGGTTGGGATTCTGACATGGTTTCAGAGCGAAGGTCTCGGGTTCGAATCCCGGTGTATGCACTTCGGGCATCCCAGTGCAGGGGGGTGTCAGAGGTCCACTGGTGATCCCCGATTGATCCTAGGGAAGGGTTACAGGCACGTTGGCCTGGGGGGTTATGGGTGCACTGACCCGCTACTGAAACAAGCCCTTTTATCCCAATGGTCTAGTGGTTGGGATTCCGACACAAACCCCCTACAGTCGCAATCCCAGATGTCGTCCATAGAGGTTAGTTTCGACATTGCAATTGGGCGTTGTTGACCATGAAACCCTGTGCACACAGGGTTTCAGGACTCCTAGCGTATCGATCTCAAGGTGCTCGAAATGTTTAAAAACAGTTACAGCGATCGAGGTGTAATCGTCAACCTTATTGGTTTGTGTTTTTGAACGAAATAAACTGTGAAAACCCATTAGACCCATTCACCCGGCCAAATGCCTTCTACACATGTTAGTCGCGGGATTGCGTTTCGTCCCTTTGTTTGTAAACAACTGTGTTTTTGAACGAAATAAACTGAGACGAATCTTCCACATAGGGGTGAACACGTGGATTGCTCCACTGTCAAACAACCACACGCGATCGAGCAGTATCAAAACCAATTACTCGTTCTCCAAACACACTCCTCGGGCTAAAAAACATTATCCAAACACTGTATGGTGTTTTATCGGAAACCCAATTGGATGGTGGTTTGGAACGAAACGGGCATTGACGAATTAACGACATAGGGTCGGACACGTGGATTGACCGATCACGAATCTGCAACACTATAACGTACAACCAAACTTATCGCGTTTAAAAACAATAACCCCAGGTACCAGGCCAGTTGCCTCACACACATGTGAGTCGCTAGTCTGCGATTCGTTCTGACGTTATCGCCAACGGGCGCAGCGACTGAAGGTTATGGCGCATCCTCGCAGGGGCCGCACGTTGTGTGATCCTGTACAACATTTGCGGAAAGAGATGGTTGACGTTAGGAGTATGCTCATGGCAACCGAGACCCTGCTTGGACAAGGGATCCCATCGCGGATTAGATCGCGGATTACAGGACTGCTAAGGCGACACAGCAAGCTCTGATGGAGAGACGAATAAGACCGGTAGAAGACTCTTACGCTAATCGTCGGCGCCGCGCGCCCATATCTCCACCTCGTGATCACCCGGAGAGACGGTGTTTACGTCGGCGGCATCGTCGCTATGCACGCCGACGTCGCCTCCATCAGTGTCTGGCGCCCGTCTATCGTGAGGTGGTGCAGTCTCCCCGCGTGGCGGAGGTAGTGTGACGACGTTATTCGCTCCACGTTGCACATGTTGGGGCGATGCGCAAATCCTGCGCCATCCACTCACGGACGAGACCCTCCATGCGCGTGATAGCGTCGGCGTGACAGTCTTTGATGGTCGCGCAGACAAGTTGGGCGGCCTGCATTGTGGCCGTCTCATGCACCCGGGCGCGCTTAGGTGTAGCAGCGGTTTGGGGCGGCGGCGCTGAAAGCGGGACGGAAAGAAGCGCACTTAGTATGACCAGTAGCAACAAATCTCTGTGAGGATACCGTTCCATGATGCGTGTACACACACAGTTCGTTGAGGCATGTTTACCAAAAAGGCTACGTAACTAACCGGTTCACATGCACATAAACAACTGGATCATACCTGTGAAGGTCGGTGTCGACGTCACTGGCTGAGAGGAGCTTGGAACGTTGTCCACGTTGGCGATCGTGGCGGTGCCGCCGTCCACTGCATGCGGGGCGGGTGCAGCGGTGTCCTTGTTGTATAGCTCCATGTATGGCCACCATGGCGGCTTCTGCACATAACGGGTGCCCTCACCGCCATCTACTTGTTTATTCTCGTCCCACGCCCACATCAACTTGCGCCACTGCTGCCGCATCGCGTTGACATTCCTGCACCAATCCGGGTTGGACTCCTTGATGTGAGCGTGCAGGCTGTCCCAGTATTGTGCCCCATGCTTGCCGTTGTGGGTCTCGAGTTTGTCTTTGGTAAACCACCGCGCCGCGGCGAAGACTGTGCTTTCTTTGTCCGTCCACATGCCCCTCTCGACTGGGCCAGTCGACCGCTTCTTCCGTGGATCCTGTCGAGGCGTAAGTGCAACCGCCTTGCCTTTGCCTTTGTCGACGTCTACGCAGCGTGCGGAGATCCGTTTCGGCGGCGGAGTCACAGGATGCACTTTCTCCTCCGCGGCGTCGTTGACGTCGTCGTCGTCGCCCTCATCGTATGTAGGAGACATCCCACGATCTTCCTGCTCGTCATCCTCGTCGTCGGTGCCTTCGGCCTCGCCTTCGAAATCGTCGTCGTCGTCGTCGACAACTGCTTTCTCCGCCACGGGCCGGACTGTTGCGGCGGTTCTTGTAGGCTGACGGCGCACGCGTGACGGACCCGCACTGGGTGACGGTGCACTAGAACCCTGCCCGTCAGGCCCAGGCGCCGCGGATAAGCCGGCCACTTGACGGCTGTTAGCTAACTGCTGGTTTATCCAGCGGATGTAAGGGATCTCGTTAAGGTCCTTTGGGCAGTCGTTTAGGGACTGGCCCTTACGCTTGCGCGCCATGACGGGAACGGTCTGCGTTTCTAGAACTAGATCTAACGGTACAGAGATCTAAACAAGGAAGGATTGAAAGGAAAACAAGTGAAACGTGTAGTTATGTTTGGAGGAGGGGGCGTTGATGACCCCACTCAGACGTGCAGTTACCTGTAGTATACGCCACTCAATCGCTTTAACGTGATCAAGGCTGTGTTGTTCACAGACATCGGTCTTCACACGATGGATCTCTTTAGCCACCATCCTGTACATACAACGCGTGTATGGTCAGTGACTCCGCCATTTACAAAAACGGATATGGATACCATGAGACCCCAAGCCAATGTTTATACCGCTCGATCACGTCCCATTCGGTGCCCATCTCGCAGTGCGTTCCGGCCGAGTCGTAATGATATAACTTTGGCTGGTTTTCAGGGGAATGATGCAAACTCTCTGTCAGAAGGTGTCTTGCGTTTGCGACCACGACAAGGCTGAAGTGAAACCTGCGCATCAAAACTTCAAACCCTCCTCAAAACCAAGAAGTGGTGGAATTGAGAGGTCCAGGCTTGGTTATTGTTGTTTGTCAAACTCACCTTCCAGTGACAACAATCGCGACATAGTCGAAGTCCAGAAACGACCTTTTCGCTGGGCAGCAGGCAATGAGTTTACCATGCCTCGACATGTAATCGAAAGCCTTGGAGTCGAGTGCGATCCATGTTTGACCGTTTCTAAGCTTCGGGTAGCGTATGTCGAGCAAACTATATGGCACGGAATGAAGGTGTTATATTCATACGTTTTGAGAAAATGAGATTGTGAGAATGACCATAGTTTACTTACATGTTGTGCAAATCGATGATGTTGTCGTTAACAGCGAGACAAGACGTTATGCGATCGATGTCCGCCCATGAGATCGTAATACCAAAGGAATGCCAATTGTAGATAGTGCTCGATCTCCTCTCTTGAGCTGCCACGTCGTGATACTGGTTTGCATTTTCTGATCCGTACTGCAGGTCGCTGTGACCCGCAATGGTTGAGTCACAGCAGTCGTTACTATTACCAGTAGTTGGGCCTAGTCCCGTGGTGCCGTTAACTGTGGTGGTCATGATGTCGGTGAAAGTATGCTCGTCTCTGGGCAATGGTTCAGGACTATGAGTATTATTCATGTTGGAGCTCGTGCTGCAATTCTGAAGCCTGCTAAGTATCGTTTTTTAGTGTTCTTGTGGCTGTCATCGTAGGCACGCCGAGATGGTTATGTTCAGATCATGAAAATGCTCCCACGCTTTTTCGCGCGCTTTTTCTGCGATTTGAGCATGTACGTGCCAGTTTGAGTTAGGGCCAATGGTGGTCTGCTTTGTTCGTCACCCCGGATTGTGTTGACTGTTCGTACGTGATCTCCGTAAAGTTCCGAGATACGGGATTCAATGTGCTCATTCACGCCTCACTTTGGCTTTGACGATTGGCCAGATCAAGATCAAAGTTCATGATGATAAAAAACACGCTGCGCTATCAGGTTTCTAACATCGATCATAGACGCAGAACAAGCATGCTACACTGGAGGGCAGCACAGGGCCTTTTGAGCTAAAAAACTCGTATATGAAGCTGTCATCAAAGCCGCGGTATTGGAGCGTGTAGTAAAAAATATTTGAACTTCGTGATGTCAGCGACGCCCACAAATCACAATTTTAGCACACTATGCGTTAAATGTACGGCCTAATATTTCAAACAACCTACATTGCGTGTTCAGTCACAGAAGTTGTATGTTCAAAAGTCTACAACGAGCGATGCGTCAGGGAGAAACCATTACACCAACCTACGAAATGGAAACCCCGTAAAAGCGCACATCATTATAACGACACACACATGGAAGCGAGCAAGCGGTTGTGATGAAACCCCTAGACGTAGATGGATCAATATCTTGCACCATTGATGCGGTATGTCGCCTGTCACATTACCACGCACAGTATAAGATCAGTTACAGATGTGGGAGAGATGATACACCCTCCGGGCTAATCTCGTACCTCAGTTGTACTGCTGCTGAACGTCCAAATATTGCTGCTGATCATGTGGGGGCCGAGAGAGGACCATGCCCGGAGGTTGTGTTGCCTGGCTGCTGCTCGGCACGGCTAGTGGGCGAGGAGGCAGCATGTTTGGTGCGTGTGGAACCTGTAGTAGTGTTGCCGGTGCCAGCTCCGGCATGAGCTGTCGCCATTCGCGCCACCTGTGCCAGAGGCCACGGTCGGCTAGGCTTGCCACATGCTGCCTGGTGCACCCGGTCAGCAGCTGCTGCTCCGACAGGGTAAGGTCAATACTGCGCCGGATGCAATAACCCTGCGGCCGAACCACCACAGCGGCAGCCTTGTATCCCTTGGCTGCCTCTTCCTCGCTCGGGAAAGGCCCCATGCGAATGTGGTTTTCAGGGGCCGGCATCAAGAGCTTGGCAAACCAGGCATCTCCCCCCCCCGGTAACACCCGCGTACTTGGACTTTGCACGCCCACCGGTGAAGGCATCGGAAGTAGCTCCTGCTGCACCGGCGTCGCCTCCACTGTCGCGCATCCATTCCCCGCCGCCTTCACCCGCGCCACTCATACTCGGGATGGCTGGCGGTGGGTACGACTGCTGCGGGGGGGGGGGCGTGCTGCGGTGGACCGCCCTGCCAGCACCATGGCATACCGGGCGGTGGAGCATAAGGTGGCATAGCAGCGTAGCCTTGGTATATGGGAGCGGACGGGCGAGGCACAACTGTGAGTGGAGCGACCGGTCGTAGAGGCGGGGCAGGTCGGGATGTGCCCGGCTGATAGTACGCCGTGTCCCGCCCCGGTGGCACGCCAGTTTGATGCTGCTGTGCAGTACCTGGGGCGGGTGACGGCGATGCAGATGCGTAGTGGGGTTCCCGCTGGTGCTGCTGCGGCGGCGCTGCATCCTCGTTGGGACCAAACCGCGAGGTCTGGCGAACTCCTGCAATGGGGGAGGCCGCGGTGTCTCTGAGTCCCGGGTCGGGACTAGAGTCAACCCGCTTGGATGGAGAGGTCACGTCTGGGTGGCCAGGCGCACCTAACCCGCCGCCGGTGTTCCCTGTCTCCCGAGCTTTCTCTAGTGCCGCCACGCGCTCAAACAGCTGCTTGCTGACGCTGCTGAACTTTGAATGCAGATCGGCCTGCTCTGCGCGCAGAGCTGCGACATCCTTCTTCAGGGTCTGCACATCGGAGCTCGTCTCCCGGACAACACCGCTCATCTCTGACACGTCTGCACTGGTGGGTACGGCACCTGTACGTGTGAGCTTCTGAGGGGGAAGAGTGAGGCCCGCAGTCTGCAGGGCAGATAACAGATTGCCCGAGATATGGGCGCACATGTCTGCCCGCCAGTCGCGACGGAACCGCAACGGGGAAGTTGTGAAGGCGATAGGACCGCCGAGGTGTTGGAAGTTGGTGGTCACGTGCAAGTGGAGGTACATGGCAGCGTAGACGCCACAGTCGAGACTCTTCTCGGGCTGCCGCGGTATCTCGTATGTGATCTGTGCACAACAGCCGAGTGTGATTAGGAATTCTACATGTGCGATAGCATGTTCGAAAGTGAAAGGTAGGTGAACAATCTTACATCAAGTACGTGATACGGGATGGAGCCAATACGGGACTCGACAACAGTCCGTGAAAGTCCGGGGTAGACACGGTTCAGCTCCGAGGCGAGAATCCTGCAAAAGAACATAAAAATTGATTAACAGTGTTTGCGCCAAACCGTGTATAAGCACGCTCTGATTCTTTACTTACATGCGAACATTAGTGACGACGGCGGTGTTGGCTGCGTGGTGGCCTATCGAATCATATAGCCACAGTTTGGGGGGGGGCAGCTCCTCACCACCCTCGGATGATGTGACGAGCGTGCTTGCGTTCTCCAGAACAAACAGACTGAAGTGAAACCTGACGGAAACACGACGGGAGTGATTATAATAGAATATATGTATGAACAAATTCGACAGCCTGATTGCTGCACATACTCAGCCGCGGCAAAGATTGCCACATAGTCGTAGCGCAAGAAGGTGTCCTTGTCTTCACAGCCAGCGATGAGCTTCATCTGTGTGGCCCAGTAGTCGTAAGCTTTCACATCAAGCGCGATCCATGTTTTACCGTTGTCCAACTTCGGATGGCGAATGTCCAAGAGGCTGCATGGGTACCGGCAGGGGGTGGTTAGCGGTTAGGATGTCAGCAAGGAGTGTGTACTATTTGAACTTCTTATTCAGGGTTCCCGTATGTAATTGTCTCCAAAGTGATGACGGGACTTACATGTTGTGGAAGTCCAATGCAGTGTCCGTGATTGGTGCCGCATCCTGCATGTGGAGAGCGTCAGTGTGAGGATCTAGGATCGAGCTCAGAAAAGAGAATGTGAATTTAATGATCACCTGGGTACAACACGAGGCTATATATATGCTCGACACAAGGCCCCGTAACCAGGTGTTACGCGAAGGTTCCGCGGGTCGCGAAGCGTCCCGAACAGATCCTTCCCGAATTCGGTAGAAGGCAATTCGGTGGCAACCGAAGAGCCAGAATTCGGTGCACGCAACCTAGCTCGGTGCTATAACTATAATAAAATATAGGAAAGCACCTAGCCTAGGAAATCAAGCAATTCATGCATGCATATAATTCTCCTATGCTAGAAATAGCATAATAAAGTAAAGACAAGCAAGCATAGCTGGCATAAGCCGTCGTACTCTCACAGTCAGCAACGTTCAACGAAACCCCGAACCCATGCCAATTCGCAATCGTCTTCGTGGGCCAGTTGCCACTCTTCACCGATGGTTCTTTCTTAGCGCGGCACGCCGGCGTAATGCCCGGGAGCTGCTTCATGCTCCGTGCCATGTCGGCTATAAGATCCTGTGCCGGTGGTAGCGATTTCTGTGGTGGAGGCGGTGGTTGGAATGAATACGGTTCTTCCGTGACCCGTGCACGGTGCGCCCTAGTAGTCGGGCCAGTGATTTGTTGCTGTTCTGCGCCAGACGTCCTTAGGCGTTTCTGGTGCGGGCCGCCCCTAGTACGCGTGCGGCGGCCACTAGGGACTTTCGTGACATCTTCTCCACCCGTGTTGCCGTGATCCGACTCGGCCTCTAACTCAACTAAGTCGTCCTCCTCCTCGTCTCCTACGTTCACAGGGTCGTCCGGCCGGCCCGTAGGCATTTCTAGTCGCTAGTGGAGAAAGCTGGTGAGCGGTAAGGTAACGGCAACGAAGGAGTAAAGCGTGCTGTCTTGGCGGGCCTCAAGGTCTGAATCTTGTGAACAACGGCTAGAGGAACTGGTAATGCGAGGTGGTTCTAAACGGACTGGTGAAAATATAAACAGCGAATGCAGGACGGTCGGTATAACACATCAGGTAATGAGCAAGAATGACAATCAAAACGAGAGCGGGTGAACGGGGTTCTCGAATCACGTGCAAGAGCTGCCCTCGCTTTTGAGATTTGCGTGCTGAACACGGCGAGCACTGAATGGCTGGATGTCGCGACTCGAACGTTGTGTTATCCTGTTGTGGACCACGCGGGCTGTGCTGGCGTATCCTCGTTCGCTCATGCTCGCGGTCTATTTTTTAACAAATCGAGGTTTAACACTGCGACAAGCATGCGAGAGCAAACCCTCATGGGTGACCCTGGAAGGCGAGAATCACACGCGGGGATTCCGATTCATGCCAAATGGCGTGCAGCTGGCATGTACATTAACGTTGTCGATAAAAAGCGGATCGTACCTTCTTCGTTGTAATTACCACGTAGGTAGTTTCACGCATCGTGTTAATGAGCACCTGTAGCAACCTGGCCAACATAATACGTGGGCAAATTTGTTCATGCACGGCTGGCTGCGATTGGTGCTAATTTTCTAGTTGTGAAATGTCAGGACACATTGAACTAACGTATCCACGTTGACGTCAGACTGGTGCATGCATGCCGTTCGGCGGAAATGTTGTCTGTCATTGTTTCGGCGAGGAATAAGCAACGAAAGTCCAACCACGTGTACAGGTTCGCGCAGCGTCACGAAAATTATCCCTATTGGTCCGCGTTCGCGATGCGCATCTTCAATTGCTTATGAACCTGCCGTTTGAATGACTGCCATTTGGCGCACACAGGATTTTCGACTGAGTGGCGCATTATCGAGCCTAAACTACGAATGTCACACGTAGGCTTGGCAGCCCAGAACTACGCTGGTTTGGCTCCAACAATGTTGGAGGCTCTCGGTTGGGTTCCTGGAAAAAAGTTCCGACATGACCGTACACTTACATGTACACTACCACATTGAAGTCAAAATGTGGGGAGCGCGTACCGCTCGCGATAGAAGGTGGATGGTGTGTCTTTCGGGTTGTGTAAAAATTTGAGCGCGATGAAAAAAAATCACGAAGGCAAAGCCCGCGCCGCGGCAATTCTCTCGGTTATCGCACGTACGAAGGTTCTCTTTCTAAACGCGTTCAAAACGTACACGTCGACGTGGGAAATGCGTCAATTGTCATGCGTCATTTAAGACGCATGTATACAGTAGAGGGTTACATGCAAAATAGGGTAACAAACGTGAACATGTACTGCAAAACGAACTCATGTGACACGCCCTAATGGTAGTTTCAAGAGATCAGCAGACTCTAGGCTGGTTACGAAGATTGTCGAAATAGATTCCGTTCTAGTACTTCTCGCGCTGTTCGAGCCAACCTTGTTCGGCGCCGTGCAATCAGTTAGCACAGAACTGCATAGCGGAAAAGGATTGTAACATTCCCCATGTCTACGCTAGCTGCGGGCAGTGCTGTGACGAGACGTCTAGCGAGTACACAATGCGTCACTGCGACTTCAACGAGACACTATAACGCCGGCGTTCCGTTACACGCGTCTCTGCTGTCGAAGCATTCCAGACCAAACTCAACTCACCTAAGTTTTGACTCCAATTTAGTCCTCCGGCTCACAACTACCTCAAATCAAGCTTCCATTGCTCAGCTTAGACCCCTGAAGCAGCATCAGCATGGAATTCGCCGTCGACATGGTGTCGTTCGAGCCGCGATTGATAGCGATGCCACTCCCGAGCAGACCACCACTAATCCACCCCAACCCTCCTCTGCGACCGTTGCTCCCGAACCAGCCTCGGCGGTTTCTCCCGAGCCTCCTGTCCCTGGGGAGAAGGTCTACCGAGGCTTGGCGTTAGCTTCGGTATCAGCCGCGGTGGGTCTGTTTGTGTTGACGAGGGTCGCAGGCGCAGGCACGGATCTCTCCGCATTGGCCGCACGATCGGCTAATTTCGATGAGGTACCTAAACTTCAAAGCCTAAACTTGGGACGTACTTAGGCGATTGCGGGTGGGCCTGGATACGATGAGATAGAAGGGAGGAACGGATTTGGATTGTGGTTTACCAGAGGAACAAGTAACCGACGATATGGGGGACGGATTGGGAACGGAAAGTACGCGGAGGTGAGAGGAGAAAGGGGCGGGACGGGGACGGGAATTCTAAAGGGGAGGGTTGCACGGAGGTTGGAAATTCAACTTGAACGTACAGACCTCGACTCTTTGCGCATTTCCCCGACGCCGCATTCATTTTCCCTGCTGTCTTACCTTCCCCTCATCACCTCACCCCAGGCAATGGGCAACGGGCGGCCAACCGTGGTTGAATTCTACGCTGATTGGTGTCAGGTATGTCCTCATCCCTCCTGTATGTGCTGACTCTCATTGTGTCATGCTGGATGCGATTGTGTGTGCTGACTACCATCGCCCGAAGCTAATTGCTTTCATTTCATCCATCCTGAATTCCCTTCTGGCCGGTTCCTCTCGTCTCCCTTTGCTATATTCCGTCATCCACACTAATTTCATCATGGCCGTTCACCCTTCACCCCAATAGATTCCCTCATTTATCCCCCTCTTTCCTTACTTTCCACCCCTCTCCTCACCTTGTGCCCCACCTCCCAATCCCCTTTCCCCTCCATTTTCCTCCTTTCCATTTTCCTCCTCCTCCTCCTCGCCCTCCTCCTCCTCCTCGCCCCCTTCCCCCTCCCCCGTTTCTCAAATCCTCTATGCTCCATGCCTTCACTGCCTGCTGCCAGGTCTGTCGCGAGACTGCCCGGGACACACTCAAGGTCGAACAGCAATTCAGGTGAGCTTGACTCGACTCAAAAGCCAAAGGCCACCTTCTATCTTTGAAACTACAGTCTTGCCACGTAGGCTCATTACATCTCCTTGGTGTTCTTCGCGGGACTTGCTGGGGCACAGTCAAGGTCGAGCAGCAGTTCAGGTGAGGGACAGTCCTTGTATCGCACTATCATCATGCTCCTGGACTTTTGAGTCGCCTCAGGTGTCACCACGATACTGCCCGAGACACACTTAAGGTCCAGCAGCAGTTCAGGTGAGCAAGGAATTTCACAGCACTACAATGAGTCGTGCCTCTTGGCTGACACTCCACCCACCAAGGCCCCAATCTCCGAATCCTTTTAGTCCCTCACGCCTGTTGAGTAATCCAACGTGTGGCCTTTCCCTCAAATCCCCCACCACTTCCCTCCCCTCACTTCTCTCGCCCTCCCCTCACCTTCTCTCCCCACTCCCCCCCCCCCCTTCCCCACCCCTCCGTTCCCCTCCCCTCCCCTCCCCTCCCCTCCCCTCCCCTCCCCTCCCCTACCCACCCCTGCCCTCCATTCCCTTCCCCTCCTCTCCCCTCGCCTCTCCCAGAAACGATGTCAATTTCGTGTTCCTCAACATAGACAACGTGAAGTGGGCGGCAGAGCTGGACGAGTTTGGGGTGGACGGCATCCCCCACTACACCTTCCTGGACGGCGAGGGCAACGAGATGGCGTACGTGGTGGGAAAGGTTCCCAGGAGAATTCTCCTAGATAATGTGTCTGCACTTGCTCAAGGCAGGCCGGAGCTTCCGTTTTCGCAATTTATTTCGGAAGCGTCAGATGCTGCTTTGAGGCAGGCTCCCAGGGTTGTGGATCCGAGAGACCATGGGCCGTAACTGCTGATTGGGAAAAAGTTTATGGAGCGCACAGGCATGTGATGTCACCGAATACACCGACTCACCCCCGGCTCAACCCACGGTTTATTTCACAAGGGTCAGATGGTGCCTTGTGATATGCTGTTAGGGTCGTGATTGTGAGAGATCACGGGCCTGAACTGGTGATTGTGAAGTTTCGTGTTGTACGCAAATGACTCAAGTGTGCCTGCTACCTCCACTCCGGCATTTGTTTCGATTGGCAAACTTAGGGCAACAGGAGGATATACCAGTAAGGGTACATTCCTGTGGAGACACAAATGTCTCAATCGCTTTGTGACACACAAAAACAGCATAAACTGTAGTGTGTCCCAATTGCGAGTCGCATTTCCGCGACCATTACTGTATTTTTTATTGGTCAGCGTGAAACGCGCTGACGTCGCTGACGAATTGTAATCTGACTCGTCAATGTGAAAAATTCGCACGCTGCTCGAAATGTCAATGCACCTGGACAGCCTGCAATGCCAATTTCGTGCGGGAAAAAATCCCGCTCGTCGAAACCACACCCCAGCCAAGCGGTTGAAAAAAGGGATGTACAGTCATTTGTGTCACCCAAACAAATGCGCACAACTGTACATCTCGCCTGGTCGCCTAGAGTCGCGATACATTGGTTGTTTGTGACACAACATTTGGCAAATTTACAGGCGCGACTCGGGAAATCGGGGATTGAGACACAAGTGGCCCCGCAGGAATGTACCCTAAGAGGAAGCAAGGGGGGGTTGTCTCGGAGGCAGCAATATGGTTGTGAAAGAAAGGATGATAGTGTGAAAAGTGCGAAGGTGGTACGGTGTGTGCATAGAGTAAAATGGAGCTTGCATGTGTGTCACGGAGAGAGAATGAGTGGGGGTGACAAGGAGTCTTGCATTAGAATATGCAGACAATACATACAAATGGATATGGAAGGATGACAAGACATACAAATGGATATGGAAGGATAGAAAATATAGCTAGAGATTTTGTGTGACTTGGAAGATGATAATTATTCCTCACTACATCAGTGTTGTCTCAAGATGAGTGGATGGAGGATGGCACTGTCAGTTGACTGACAGTCGTTGAGTGTGGGCGATTTGTGTGTGTGCTTTGGTGTCAGTTCGCAAGGAAGTGATCAGGATGATGTGTAACTGCGCCTTACTTTCCTGTTTGTCGCACGAGGTTCAGCTGGGTTTCGCATGCCTTGCAGATTGCAACGGTAGTGGCAGAAGATCTCCAGGGAGGCAGGGCGAAAAAGGGGCAAAAAGCGGTGCCACGCAATCCGTAAGAGTGGGTGGGGGAAGTGGTTTGTAAGGGACGAAACTACACCTCGTTACATGGTGCCGCGCGCGTGACGTACCATGCCCCGGTGGCGGTACAACTAGCCGAGCACGTTACTGCAACGTCAGCACACAGCTGTACCGCCCCTCGAATGTCACTCCACAAACACTGAGATGGTGTTCAAGCAAGAAAATGGGTTTTGTTTTGAATGCATTCTTAGAACGTTCTCGCAACCTGAAAAAAGGGCAAAAAGCTGTACGCACGCCGAACCATGTTTTGCCAACAGAGACGCAAAGGTGAGAGAGTGGATCCCAAGCATGACGCATTGAGGGCGTGACCAGCGCGCACATTTTGCAAATATTAGTACCTTCACACGTTTCCCGGCTCAAAATATCTCACTGTACCAAAAAACGAATATAAGGCGAGTCGAGTCCGAAGGAGTGGGCCTTCCAGCGCGCGGACACAACCCTCTGCACACAAATTTCTACAGTTCATGGAAAGCGAGGTAACTGTTTGCCTCGTCTATCTTCGCACAGAAATTCACGCACAAGCGAAAATTCCTCGCTTGAACGATAATTACTGTAGCGGGCAGGAAGCAATGCTGTATCATTGTTCGCGCGTACACTGATTCCAGTAACGTGTGTTAGACGATTCGTCGTACGTGCAGCGGGCGTGCCGTCTTGTGTACGGAAGCTGATCTTATCCAGCCTTTTTGTAAAATGCAGTGTTACAAAAGAAAATGTGGTAACCGAATGGGTTTATGAACTGTAAATGCACGCGCTGGACACGCCCTGATTTTCTGATTTCTCAGCAATGGTGTGCTGTGTGGACGGCACCAGAAGGAATATACTAGCTGTCTCGGAGGACAGATCACACAAATCACGTGGCGGACCATCTTCTGTCAGTTCCTCTTCTCGCGACGCGAGAAACCAACCGCGCATGAAGAAACCAACTTGTAAAGCATTATAACCCACACAAACCCAGCCAAACCGAAGCGACCACCGACCAAGAAACTCGCTCGGCGAGTGCCGCGACGAGAAGGCCCGCCTCTCACGGCACGCGAACTATATGGGTGGGTAGACCAGTTCCAAAAAAGGCATCTCGTGCTCTCTTTGGCGATCGTTCCTGATTCACTCGAACTTCGAAATTCCCGTCTTCCTGGCCAACTCAATCATGCTGCGACGAACCGTCAGAGTCCTTTCTCGGGAAGTGTCTCGATCGCGTACAGAGGAGTGGATGCTTCATCAAGTCACGTCAGCCACAGGATGTTTCTGGCCGCCGGCACCTCCTAAAAGTCCCCACGGAGATGCTGAATTTGAAACGGAACATCATGTTGTTTTGCCGCCTGAAGACCTGACACCAAACAAAGGTATCATAACCCCTTCAGGAATACAGAATCGCGGACCTACTGCAGAAACAAGCTCTCCTGATTCCAGCTGGCGACCAGGAGGCGTCACGCCGATCAGGGTTCTCAGCTCGAATGCGACCATCATGCGACGTCACAAATCGTTGTCGCTGGATATCAGAGATCTCGATTGGAAGGTGTCATCGCCTCACCAAGCTATACCCGAGAGCCTTACAGAGCATGGCCGATCTGTTTCAATGCCAGCTGCTGGTCTAACCAGCTGTTTAACTCCTGTCGCCGGAAGACCCAAACGATCCCCTGACCGTCGCGTGTCGTTCAACCCGCTCGTCCGCGTGCGGCCTATTCCGCCACGAAGTTCCGCCATCGACACAGCCAGCCAAATTCTGGCTACTAACGCCGCAAAAGCCGTTCACCCAAGCTCCTCCCCTACCGCGAATCCCGCCAGCGTTAACCTCCCAGACCCAGACCTGAGCTGGGGTGCCGCTCAGTGCTCATCAACGGTGTCTACTACCGAAGACTCGGAGTTATGGCGGACTTCACGCAAGTCGCAAATATCCTAGGGGATTGGATTCGTATCCTTGCACAAAATTCGACCTGCTATTACAGGGTGTGTCTCTCTTCACTAAGTTTTTTTTTTCGTATTTATCATTGGGGTATGTGCCGTGTGTTGTTCTAAATATGTAAATACGATGCTACACAAGTTCATGTCATTGTGATTGTTGGATAGTGAAATTTCAATGGTATTATTGTGTTTTTTATTTCGAAAGAGCAAGACAGTATATGTGACTCGCTAACTTACTCCGGGTCTAAAATCACACGGACACGAACAACCTTGCAGAAGGACACATGCTTCTTGAGTCCCACTTTTGATGTTTCACCATGCCTGTTTGATAAAACTGTAGCAGGGAGTGACCTGCCAGTGGAGAGGCAGCTGCCAAGCTTATATCGAGGATTGGAACCAGGAGGACTCAACGAGCAGGGCTTACGTAAATCTGGGTGAAAAACAGTCTCTGTCTTGTCATTTCCGTGGTGGTTAACCACAGAAGAATCTTGTATTCTGGGTGTAACAACTGAGCAGCCACCTTCGTGATACTCAGCTTCGTCAGCCATGATGTAACCCGATTCGTCACCGCAGCTGCGCTCGCCAGATGTAACCGCAGGTGAACAGAGAGAAGTCTCGCAGAACCGAGAAATTTGCCCCGCACCAGCACAAGCGGCGCAAGTGTCTTCTTTACTTCCCGGAGAGAGCGGAGGCTTGCGCAAATCCTGATGTGATGCTTTCTGACTAAACCGCGGTCTTGTCGTCACATGATAATTTGCGCCAGCTGGCACGGCAGACACACAGGCACAATCGCCCGCTAGAACCGCGTCAGCTTCCAAGCCTCCATGACTGCTGATTCTTTTGTCACAATTGGCGATTCCGCCACCGCCGCTGTCCCCACATACACCGCGCGGAAAAGTAATTCCTTCCACATCCCGCCAGTCCTCCACCCCACAGCCTGCGAATTCGGTAACCGTACTTCCGGGTTCGCAGCTCCCGCAATGGTCGTCTTCAACGGCTCTGTTCGTCTCAACCGCAGATTCCCAAAATTGAGAACGCCGCCGCCCGTAGAGCCATCCGTTCAGCCGCTGGGCAATTGAGCCGCTAGGGGACTTGGGGGAGTCACAAGGAGAGGCGCAGGGGGAGGATTTTCCGCCAAGCGCAGCTGCGCTGGCTTCGGGCGCAGCTGTATGTTGGCGGAACACTGCCGGGGAAGGGAAGGGGATGGATACCGTGGCGGAGCGGCGGGCGGGCGGGGGCGCAGCAGACGAGGGGGCACTATGGAGAGCCGCGGAGGATGCGGACAAGGCGCGGCGGAGGATGCGCGCCGTGGGCGCTGGCAATTTGCGCTCACCCTCCGCGAGCGGGGAGCCTGCACGGTACCCGCGCGGTGCTTTCTTGCCCGCCTGCTCGCGCTCTAGCTGCTCCGCCAGCTTCACCCACACGCGGTCCATGTCGGGGGAATCGCGCGACCGCTCCGCAATCACCTCCGCGTTGGGGCTGCGCACGACAGCGGGGGTCGGCGGACGCCAGCCCGAGGGGGAGGCGGAAGGGGAGGGGGAAGACTGAGCGGAAGCGTAGTGTCCGCCAGCCCCGTGTGAGCTAGCTGTGCAACGGGAGCGCACCGTCCTACCGCGGCATTTGCCGCGAAGAGCATGACACGTCGGAGGCGAAATAAGCGCGGCAGAAGCTGACGTGGCGGCCGTAGCTGGAGAGAGAAGAGACGCGGCTGGGAACACGCACGAAACTGAACCGTTGCTGCCACTACTGCTGCCGCTGAAGCCGCCAATACTGCCGCTGTCGCTGCTACTAATAGAATGCGGAGAGCAGCCGCAGGTCGATGCGCGCGTGACCGTGGTGATAGTCGTCGTGGGGCCGTCAGCGGCCAAGGCGGCGGAACATTCGCCGCCGTCTGGTACGTCTTTTGGCGGTATCGTATACGCCGTGGAGGCTTCTGCAGAATGCGGGGATTGAGTTTTTTCGTAACATGGCGCCGACTGTAATCCCGATACGGAACCCCCACCCGGAAGGGGGTTTTCGAGGACTGCTGGCGACGAGTGCTGCCCTGGGATGTGCACTCGAAGGCTCGCAACTTTCAGCGAGCGACGGCGCGCGAGGGACTGCGACTTCGGCGACGATGTCGCAGAGCTGTCGCTATGTTGGGAATTAGGAGGAGATCTGCTTCGTACTACTAAACAATTCATTGGGCTTCTGGAAGACGAATTTTCAAGAGGAAGCAGGGATTGGGGGAATCCGATCATAGTCATTCCAAAGCCTACATAGAATCTGTGAGTCTAATTAAAGAAATGAGTGGAGATAAGAGGTAAGAAGTACTTGGGAAAGGCTCATTCCTTCGCATGTGCGAGACGAGACGACAGAAGCCCACGTCGAGGAAAGTTGACAAAAGAATAAAGCGAGCTGTTTGCTATGCTGCGTTGGACTTATCTTTTTCCTGTACACCTGCTCCTAAAGCGAGAGACAGCGAAAGACCTCTAGTGACCTGTGACCACCACACAACTCAAAAGAGTTCGGATTTTCACGCCTCTGTATTGAGTTCAGACAAGGTGGTGGAAAGGTCGCAGCAGCAGCCCTTCACCGTCAATGTAAACTGTATATCTGACTGGGCGCGCTATACGCCAAACAACGCCTACGACGAAATCTCACGTGATTCGTGAACGAGGGATGACGGCGGAGGGGGGAGAATGTGGTGGTGGTGGTGGGGGATGGGAGGGGGGAATGGGGGGGAGGATCCGGGGAGGAGTGCGGAAAGTCAATGTGGGGAGGACGGCTAGCGAAAGTCAAGCTGTTACTGTGTCACGAATGTTCAGAAAAGAGTTGGTCAGCATTGGCTGCGAAGTTGAGTATACAGTGCCGATAAGGCATCAGGGGGAACTGGTGTGTGCTTGTCAGCCAGCGAGGCTGATCGCTGTACACGTCAGCGAGCTGTTTGCTGTGAAGGTTCCAGAGATTGCGGGGCCACTGCACCAGCGCGGTTCGCAATGCTCCAAACCAAACCTCCAAGCCTGGCCTTCTGTACATCATCAGAACTGCCCGGACGGAGTTCGATGACAATCAAGTCAAGTTTGAAGGTTTCATTCAGGTCCTACTGTACACATGATGCCCAACCACTGCGCGCGAATTTGCCTTTCTCATTTCAGAAACTCTGTACCCGAGTTTTTTTTCCCAGTCAGTTGCACCCAGGTTATAGGCACGCGGATCAACTTGCATTTGGGCGAGAAAACGCCAAAGTATGAATCTTAGGCGCAAAACAAACCAGGCTGACCCGGTTTGTTCTTGCTTCTTGGCCAGAAACAAGCATAAACCCTAAACCCTGAACTAACAACAACACAGGCCCACAAGAACGGTTTTGGAAAAAACAAATGAGTTACAACCTGTGTTTTTTAGAAGTACCTCAACACCCTGGCGAAATGGAACGAACTGAGCGAAATGCTCAAAACGTTTATAAGCCCAGAGCACAACCCAAGAAGGGAGAACTCAAACGGGCATCAGGTGTAACTAAACTTGTTCAACGAGTTGGAAAGCGGCAGTCAAGAGCTGTCATTACAGTGAAGTACTGTACAGTACCCGCCATCCCCCCATGTGGCTGCTGTTGAACATCGGCCCGGCGCACGACACGAGCAGATTGCCATCGTTGAAAGGGAATGTGCGGGTCGTCGTACAGTCGCAGATCACGGGTAGTGTGTCAGGACGGTTCTTATCGGTGGAAAGCGTTGATTGAAAATATCAGGTTTCCACCGTGGCGAATCTATCTAGACCTCAAAGAGAGATGGACGAGCTGGACACCCTCTTTATGTTTTTTGCCAGTGGGTAGTGCTGTCGTTTTCTGTTCCGCCCAAACCAATGACAAAGCTTGGTGCGATTCGTGAACCAGGAGATGGAGATTAACTCGTTACTGAATGAACTATGTAGGAGACCGAGTGAGTGTTGCACCAAACCAGACTTTTGCACATTTATTTTTTCCAAGTGGAAACACGCTCAGTAGACAACCAGAACTCATTGAAGGCATCTGAGTGCTGAATCTTACGTGAACACAATTACTTCATGTTAATTATCCATTTTTTCTAGATTCAAAAAGGGCCAGCCAGTGGCCATTGTTTAGCCGTTACTGTACACTCAAACAGACAAGGCCATGCCCCATACAAAGAATGCAACCGTTACCAGCGTTATCCAAAGGCTTCCCCGCGCTATTGCCACAGCAGCACCAAGCCGCTCCACTGCTTTCCAGATCCATTCAACGGCCAGCAGGAGTCCTCTCCTCCTTGGGTTTTGAGCCGTATCAAAACCCCGACGTTACGCAACTCTATTCAACGGGCAACAGCGCTACTCGTGCTCTCCTTGGCTCTCTTGTGCTCTTTCCTTTCCTCCCCCCACTCCTTCCCCTCCTCTTCTGATCTTCGCTTGCAGCTACCATCACCCTGACTCCCCCCTGGATCAGTCGCACCATCTATTTTCTCTCCCACCACACCCTCCCTGTTGTCACTCTTGTTAGTATCATCAGCATCAAGGTCAGTGTCGCCAACGTCAGCAGCAGGGGCAGCAGGGGCGGGAGCAGCATGTGCATCAGCCGCTGAATCAGCAGCAGGAGCAGGAGGAGGAGGAGGAGGAGGAGGAGGAGGAGGAGGAGGAGGAGTAGAGAAATCATCAGCGGTAATAGAGCTCTTGCTTTCAGACGCACCTCCCCCTGTTCCATCAGCATCAGCATCAGCAGAGGAAGGATGGCTCATCGTGCCGCTACCGCCCTTCAATTCACCACCATCCTTCAGCACCTCTCCCTTTCTATCTTGTCCCGCACCGGCTGCCGCACCTGCTGCTGTTCCTGCTGATTCTACAGTCTCTGCTCGTGCTGCCGCTTCTTCTGCTGTTTCTGCGGCTCCTCCTGCCCTCGCTGTTGCTGCTGTCCCCCCTGTTTCTGACGTTTCTGCTGCTGATGCCAGAGGTGGGGAAGGAGAGGAGGAGGCAGGAGAGCCACCTCTAGGCGACGCGGGTGGGGATGGGGATTCTAATAGGGACGGGGATGCTGAAGGGGATGCTGAACGGGATGGCGATTCCGGTCTAGGCGATCGCGAAGGGGATGATCTGGGGGATTGCGACGGCGACGTTTTCGGTGATGAAAAGGCTTTGGGCGAGGAGGAAGGAGACGACTTGGGAGAGGAGGAAGAGGGGGATGAGGGGGAAGAGGGGGAAGGGAAGGGTTTCGGGGATGACTGTTGCTCCGTAGCCTTGCTGCTGCAACGATTTGGTCCTCCGTTGTTGCCCTTTCCTCCTGCCTTCTCACTCCCCCTCTCTTCCCTCTTCCCCTCCTCCGTATCCCTCTCTTCCCTGTCCTCCTCGTTCCTCTCCTCCCGCCTCCTTCCCTCCTTGTGTTGCTGCCCTGAGTCAGACCTCTCTTCTCCATCACCTTTTCTTCTATCTTTCCCTTTGTCATTCCCTCCTCCTCCTACTCCACCTCCACCCCCTCCCCCTACGCCCCCCCCTCCTCCCCCTCCTCCTTTAACCAGGGCAGATCGGGCCAACATTGCCCCCAGCTTCCCCCCAACAACAATCTTACCCCCAGATATTCTCCTGAATCCCCCCCCACCATCAGAAGATTTCCGTTTCTTTTGCACACCTTGGGATGACCCATCCTTCCCGCCCGAACCTGCTCCTCCTGTTCCGCTCCGCTTCGGGCCGTTCCGAGCCTCTCCCCGAGCCTCTTCCCCAGCCTCTTCCCGAGCCTCGAAGCCTCTTCCCGAGGCTGGGGAGCCAGTGGAGGGCCGGGGGCTAGGAGGGAAAGGGGAGGAGGAAGAGGGGCGGTCTTCGTCGTCCTCATCCTCATAGTCCACGAGCCCATGAAGCGGCTTCCTGGAAGGTGCCATGATGGGGATTCAGAGAGAAAAGAACAAAGCAGTTAGCAAGCGGAAGAGATGGAGAGAGCATGAGAAGGTGAGAGAAAAGGAGACAAGGATAAGCATAAAAAAGAAGAAGGATAGGGTTATGATTTGACACCAGGGTAGGAGGGAACTAGAGTGGGCGGACGGCAGGGAACAGGAGGGGTGGGTGGAGAGCACAAGCGGCGAGTCAACAAAACCCCACCTGGAATTTTCTGGTGGAAGGAAACACCAGCCCAACGAATCTCACCTCGAAGGTTCTGGAGGAATGATGCCGTTGGCAAGGGAGCGAGGCGGAGAGGGCGAGCGGGCCTTGTGGCGTGGAAAGAAACAAGTCTCGTGGTAAGGAAAGCGCACTCTACATGGAGCGCATCTCACCTGGAAGGCTCGGGTGGAATGATGCCGTTGGCGAGGGAGCGAGGCGGAGAGGGCGAGCGGGATTTGTGGCGTGGAAGGGGGGGTGTGCCTGACGGGTCGAGCACTGGTAGGCTGTCGTCGTGCTCCTCCTCCTGTGCTGCTGGCTCGTCGTCACTGAGTGATTCGATACAAGCACGGGAAATCATGCGAGCACTGGATGCCCTGAGAGAAAAGCATGTGATCTTCATTCTACCTTTTTATTATTTGGTGGGGAAGAAGGGGTGTGGGTGGGGGTCAGGCAAAGCAGGGCGGGGGTTTACAATTAGACAAAACCACACTGACAGAAGCAACAGTGAGGGAAGGACAAGGAAACAAGAGAGTCAGACGGCCAACACCATTGGAACACACCTGTCGCCTCCGCTTTCGAAGTAATCCTCCTCCTCTCTCTCCAGCTCCCTCTCCTCCCTCACTCTCCTCTTCTCCACCCTCACTCGCCCTCCCCGCTCCACCACCTCCCCACTCCTCCCCCCTTCTCCCCCTGCCGCCCCCCCTCCACCACTCTCGTGTCGCCACCTGTCGCCGCTTGATTGCACGCTCATGGCTGTGGCTCGCGGCAAGTGGGAGGGCGGAGGGGCAGCAGAGGGCTCTTCTGCCGGCCGCATTGAATCAAGGTTCTGTTGTGAAAGAAAGGGAGGAGGAAGGGGAGGAGCAGGGGAAAAACGGTGAGGTATGGGAAGAGAAGCCGAGGTTGAAAGCAAGTGGGAGAGGGGAAATGCAGCAGAAGGCTCTTCTGCCGGCCGCAGTGACTCGAGGTTCTGTTGTGAAAGGGGAAGGACGAGGCAGGAAGGGGGAGGAGGGGAGAGGGGACGTGGAGGGGTGTGAAGAAATGGGGAGCAGAAGGCTCTTCTGCTGGGCGCATCGACTCAAGGTTCTGTTGTGAAGGAAAAGGGAGGAAGGAGGAAAGGGGCGGGAGAAAAGCAATAAGGGATAGGGAGAGACGTCAAGGTTGGAAAACACGGGAGGGCGGGGGGGCAGCAGAAGGCTCTTCTGCTGGCCGCAGTGACTCGAGGTTCTGGACCGGGATGGAGTGAAGGGGAGTGTGAGAGGGAGAGGCGAGCAGGTGAAGGCGCGTCAAATTGAGTGGGAGGGCGGAGGGGCAGCAGAAGGCTCTTCTGCTGGCCGCATGGACTGGAGGTTCTGGACCAGGAGGGAGTGGGGGGGAGAGATGGGGAAGACGGAGGAGTGGGGGGAGATGGGAAGAGGGGGTGATAGAAAGTATGACCAGCTGCCACGTCAGCATACCCATGTACATAAATGTGAGCGCCAGAAACTTGAAGGAGTCAAGAGGGTAAGAAGTCAACTGAGTCTAACGAATCAACAGAGCAAAATGAGAAAAGAACGAGCTAGAATCTCTCGAAGCATTATGTTCCCATTCTCTCCCATGCGCCCATTCCTCCCCTCCCATGCGCCCATTCCTCCCCTCCCATGCGCCCATTCCTCCCCTCCCATGCGCCCATTCCTCCCCTCCCATGCGCCCATTCCTCCCCTCCCATGCGCCCATTCCTCCCCTCCCATGCGCCCATTCCTCCCCTCCCATGCGCCCATTCCTCCCCTCCCATGCGCCCATTCCTCCCCTCCCATGCGCCCATTCCTCCCCTCCCATGCGCCCATTCCTCCCCTCCCATGCGCCCATTCCTCCCCTCCCATGCGCCCATTCCTCCCCTCCCATGCGCCCATTCCTCCCCTCCCATGCGCCCATTCCTCCCCTCCCATGCGCCCATTCCTCCCCTCCCATGCGCCCATTCCTCCCCTCCCATGCGCCCATTCCTCCCCTCCCATGCGCCCATTCCTCCCCTCCCATGCGCCCATTCCTCCCCTCCCATGCGCCCATTCCTCCCCTCCCATGCGCCCATTCCTCCCCTCCCATGCGCCCATTCCTCCCCTCCCATGCGCCCATTCCTCCCCTCCCATGCGCCCATTCCTCCCCTCCCATGCGCCCATTCCTCCCCTCCCATGCGCCCATTCCTCCCCTCCCATGCGCCCATTCCTCCCCTCCCATGCGCCCATTCCTCCCCTCCCATGCGCCCATTCCTCCCCTCCCATGCGCCCATTCCTCCCCTCCCATGCGCCCATTCCTCCCCTCCCATGCGCCCATTCCTCCCCTCCCATGCGCCCATTCCTCCCCTCCCATGCGCCCATTCCTCCCCTCCCATGCGCCCATTCCTCCCCTCCCATGCGCCCATTCCTCCCCTCCCATGCGCCCATTCCTCCCCTCCCATGCGCCCATTCCTCCCCTCCCATGCGCCCATTCCTCCCCTCCCATGCGCCCATTCCTCCCCTCCCATGCGCCCATTCCTCCCCTCCCATGCGCCCATTCCTCCCCTCCCATGCGCCCATTCCTCCCCTCCCATGCGCCCATTCCTCCCCTCCCATGCGCCCATTCCTCCCCTCCCATGCGCCCATTCCTCCCCTCCCATGCGCCCATTCCTCCCCTCCCATGCGCCCATTCCTCCCCTCCCATGCGCCCATTCCTCCCCTCCCATGCGCCCATTCCTCCCCTCCCATGCGCCCATTCCTCCCCTCCCATGCGCCCATTCCTCCCCTCCCATGCGCCCATTCCTCCCCTCCCATGCGCCCATTCCTCCCCTCCCATGCGCCCATTCCTCCCCTCCCATGCGCCCATTCCTCCCCTCCCATGCGCCCATTCCTCCCCTCCCATGCGCCCATTCCTCCCCTCCCATGCGCCCATTCCTCCCCTCCCATGCGCCCATTCCTCCCCTCCCATGCGCCCATTCCTCCCCTCCCATGCGCCCATTCCTCCCCTCCCATGCGCCCATTCCTCCCCTCCCATGCGCCCATTCCTCCCCTCCCATGCGCCCATTCCTCCCCTCCCATGCGCCCATTCCTCCCCTCCCATGCGCCCATTCCTCCCCTCCCATGCGCCCATTCCTCCCCTCCCATGCGCCCATTCCTCCCCTCCCATGCGCCCATTCCTCCCCTCCCATGCGCCCATTCCTCCCCTCCCATGCGCCCATTCCTCCCCTCCCATGCGCCCATTCCTCCCCTCCCATGCGCCCATTCCTCCCCTCCCATGCGCCCATTCCTCCCCTCCCATGCGCCCATTCCTCCCCTCCCATGCGCCCATTCCTCCCCTCCCATGCGCCCATTCCTCCCCTCCCATGCGCCCATTCCTCCCCTCCCATGCGCCCATTCCTCCCCTCCCATGCGCCCATTCCTCCCCTCCCATGCGCCCATTCCTCCCCTCCCATGCGCCCATTCCTCCCCTCCCATGCGCCCATTCCTCCCCTCCCATGCGCCCATTCCTCCCCTCCCATGCGCCCATTCCTCCCCTCCCATGCGCCCATTCCTCCCCTCCCATGCGCCCATTCCTCCCCTCCCATGCGCCCATTCCTCCCCTCCCATGCGCCCATTCCTCCCCTCCCATGCGCCCATTCCTCCCCTCCCATGCGCCCATTCCTCCCCTCCCATGCGCCCATTCCTCCCTCACCTGTTCGTATTTGAGGCGCAGCAGCTTAAAAGAGTCAACGTAGTCAACCGAGTCAAACCAGGAGCCGTATGTCTCCACTAGATGGGTCACCAGCGACTTGATGTTCTCCTGCTCACATGCATGCATGGATGCACAATCACATGCATGAGGACAATCACAAGTACATGAACAGTGACCACACAGCCACTACCCAAGGTCCAGCACGGCCGAGTTGAGGAGGCTGTGGCTGATTGCTGTTGGCAATGCTGACACACATAACGTCCCACACATTGCCATTGCACCAGCACCAACAGCAGTAGCACCAACCAACACACCTTGAGAATGAACCCGACCAAATCAAGCACGGCAGAGTTGAGGAGGTTGTAGCGGCAATGCTGACACAGCCGCAGCACAGCCGCTACACACATAACACTCCCAGCACCTTGTCTTGAGCCAACACCAACGCACCTTGTGGATGAAATCAACAAGGTCCAGCACGGCGGATTTGAGGAGGTTGTAGCGGCTGCCATTGGTATTCACAACCCACGCACCCACACCACACACCCACCGCCCCACACACAAAGCCAGTGCCCACTCACTCACCTTGCACATGAACTGGATGCTGTCTAAAACGGCAGAGTTAAGGAGGTTGTGCTGGCTGCTGTTGGTATTTTCAGCCCACAACCCACACCACACGCCACCGCCCCACACACAAAGCCAGTGCCCACTCACTCACCTTGCGGATGAATTCGACTAAATCCAGCACAGCGGAGTTGAGGAGGTTGTAGCGGCTGCCGTTGGCTCTGAAGGCTGCGATCACGGGCTCAAACAGACGGTTCTTGACCAGGTAGCGCAGGTAAAAGTCGTCCTGGTGGGAGGTGGGAGGGGGCATGGCATGACATGGCATGGCATGGGGAAAACGGTTTTCATCTGACTGGCATCACGGGCTCAAACAGGCGGTTCCTCACCAGGTAGTGCAAATAGAAGTCGTCTTGGAAGTTGGGAAAAGTGAGGGAAAAGTTTGTGGTTTCGACTGGGTCCGGCATTGACCGACATTGACCGGCATTGACCGGCATTGACCGGCATTGACTGGCATTGACCGGCATTGACCGGCATTGACTGGCATTGACCGGCATTGACCGGCATTGACTGGCATTGACCAGCATTGTTCCTTGTTACTTGGTAGGTGCTCGATGCAAGTACTGGTCTACCTTGAGGCTGACACAGGAGCGCAGGAATCGCACAGCAGCCATTACCAGGTACCCCTCCCTGCGCCCCACCAGCTAGCTCAAGAGCAGGCTTGGGTTCAACGAGGGCAGCATTCATACCTTGAGGCTGATGCAGGAACGCAGGAATCGCACAGCCACCACCACCAGGTACCTCTCCCTGCGCCTCACGAGCTAGCTCAGGCAGAAAGTAGATACCCCCGCGGGTGGCGTAGTACTATACCTTGAGGCTGATGCAGGAGCGCAGGAAGCGCACAGCCGCCACCACCAGGTACCTCTCCTTCCGCCGCACCAGCCGCAGCACCTTCTCCACCACGTTGTTGCGCAACACGTAGTACCTTGAATAGGAAGAGGGGGGAAGAATCGGGAGGGGAAGGAAGAGGCAGAAAAGAAAGCGGCAGGTTGTATCTGATTCATCCAGCAATGGGCCACCACGAGGTACCTCTCCTTCCGCCTCACCAGCCGCAGCACCTTCTCCACCACGTTGTTGCGCAGCACGTAGTACCTGAGGGAGCGGGGAAGAAGGGGGGAAATGGGGAAAGAGGGGAGAGGTGAGTGGCTTCAAACTTACGCAAACCAGCCCCGCACCTTCTCCGCCACGTTGTTGCGCAACACGTAGTACCTTGAATAGGAAGAGGGGGGAAGAAGGGAAAGGGGGAAAGAGGGGAGAGGTGAGTGTTTTCAAACTTTCAGCACCAGCCGCAGCACCTTCTCCACCACGATGTTGCGAAACACGTAGTACCTTGAGAGCGGGGGAGGTAAGAAGGGATCTGGGTTGAGCAGTTTGGTAAGGGGGATGATCTGGCACCCCTATAATGCGCAGCACCAAGGACCTGGGAAATTGGACAAGGGATGAGACGGAGGAGGCGAAGGTGGGGGTGGGGATGAGGGAACGCACAGAAGCACAGCCTGTTGCAAATGAGGCGGTGCAGTGGAGCATGAAGCACTTTTTTTTAGGCGCCTCAAAAAGGTGGGGATAAGGGAACGCACCGAAGCACAGCCTGTTGCAAATGAGGAGGTGGAGTGGAGCATGAATGAAGCACGGAGGTTGAATGGCGCTGGAAACACAAAGCACAAAGCACACAGCACAAGGATATGAGTCACTCACTTCATTCGGAAGCTGTGGTGTAGCACACAGAAGCACAGCAGATCGCAGATACTCGCCAGCACCTCAGGAGCCGGCGACACAACTCCGCCTCCTAACCCCCCTCCTCCACTACCTCCTCCTCCCCCTCCAACTGCTGCAGCAGCTGCAGCAGCGGTGGTTATCCCCTTTACAAGCACATCCACGTACTCCTCATAAAACACGTCTAGAAACTTGTTCTTTTCGGCCGTGTCCATGGTGTCGGTGTCTAGCAGCTGCCGCAATATTTCTAAGAGCTGCACGTGAGACCCCCCCTCCCCCTGACTGCGCTCCACCATTCCCTTAACCTGCCCAGGGAAGGCGGGGGAAGGGGAAAGGGGAAGGGAGGGAGGACGGCACTGGAGGTTCAGTTGAGTGGTGGGAAAGGGAAAGAAGAACAGATTGTACTTCTGACATGGAATTTTGAGAAGCATTTTCGAAAGGGGGTGTGACCAACAAGGCAGCTCTTGAGTCGACTCAAAAGTCAACTCGTTGAGTGGTGGGAAAGGGAAAGAAGAACAGATTGTACTTCTGACATGGAATTTTGAGAAGCATTTTAAAAAGATCTTGCGACGTACACGGCAGGAGAAGAGCTTGCGACGTACAAGGCAGGAGAAGAGCTTGCGACGTACAAGGCAGGAGAAGAGCTTGCGACGTACAAGGCAGGAGAAGAGCTTGCGACGTACAAGGCAGGAGAAGAGCTTGCGACGTACAAGGCAGGAGAAGAGCTTGCGACGTACAAGGCAGGAGAAGAGCTTGCGACGTACAAGGCAGGAGAAGAGCTTGCGACGTACAAGGCAGGAGAAGAGCTTGCGACGTACAAGGCAGGAGAAGAGTGTGTGGCCGGGTTGCTCCACGAGAAAGGTGCGCAGGGGGGCAGGGTCGGGACTGAGAGCTGACATGAGCATGTCGGTGCTGCAGTGGGGGAGACAGGTGGAGGGACAAGGGGCAAGAAGTGAAGGTCGAGGCATGGGGCAGTGAGTTGAGGAAGGTGCGCAGGGGGGCAGGGTCAGGACTGAGAGCTGACATGAGCATGTCGGTTCTGCAGTGGGAGGGGAGGGGGGGGATGGGGGGGGGTGTGGAAACAGGTTGACGGATGGGAAAGACAGCGGTGATTCGTGGTAAGACAGGGTAAGAGGGCAGGGTCGGGACTGAGAGCTGACATGAGGATGTTGGTGCTGTGATGGGAAGAGAGGTGGGGAGGCAAGGGGTGAAGTGACGGGGAGTGTGGAAAGAGGGTGGTGGAAACGAAGGAAGCGACAGGAGAAAGGGTGAGATATGGGGAGAAAAGAGGAGGACAGCAGTGGATAGAAGAGAAAAGAGGAGGACAGCAGTGGATAGAAGAGAAATGATATGGTAATTGGTGAGGGAGAAGAACAACCCATTGGAAAGCGGTCAACGGCCGGTGAGCAAGAGGGAGAACGGGGCTGAAAGAGCGGAAAGTGGAAAGTGGTGTTTAGCATGGGAGTGCACGGGAGGTTGAAACACATACCCGCAAAGGCGTAGGGAGGCGTCAGTGTGTTGCAAGATCGTGGTGACGATTTCAAATAGGCCCAGACCAATCAGAGCACTGCACGTGGACAGAAGGAACAGAGAGCGTGGTTGAAAAAACGATGGGTTGGACTATCAGAGAATTTCCTAGCTTTGTTCGTACTGATTCGATGTTTTTTGTAGCGCCTAGAAGACTGATCCTACAAGACTGATCCTACAAGACTGATCCTACAAGACTGATCCTACAAGACTGATCCTACAAGACTGATCCTAAACGTCAACCGGTAACGCAAAGATACGAAAACAAAGCTGGTGCGTCGAGTATAAACGGCTGGGAAAAGAAGGGAAAGAGTAAAGCCCACTACATCTGCAACGCTCAGAAGCGTCAGAAACCCAGACTGAAGGGTGGGCACGAAGATACCTAAAGGGGGTGAAGCGAAGGTACCTGAAGGACTGGTTTCTTTGTGTGATCTGCAGGTGCTTGTGCAGCGAGCAAAACTCCTGTAGGAATCGAACCTGATGCAGGGGAGAATGAAAGAGGTGAGCGGACAGAGGCAGAGAGAGAAGAGATGGAGATGCTCGGTTGAAGGAACCCTTGCAAGAGTCTCACAAGCTAATCAGATCAAATTTCACCGAGCATGTCCGTCCGATGTTACAAGGTCCCTGGACGTTCGAGAAAAAGGGCGTCTGATACACGCTAAATAAACCATGTCTCCACAACTCACGTCATGTGTCTGTTGGTGACAGGTACAAATGTTGCTTAGACTCTTCCTGTCTCACTCACCAGGTCTCTAAAGGCGGGGGAGGAGGGGTCTTTGGATCGCAGCTGGGAGAAGAGGTCCGAGAGGAAGGGCTTGTCTCCTTGTAGAGTGGACACCACCTGTGGATGGTGGTGGGAGAGAGAGGGATGCGCAGGGGGGAACCATGAGATAGGGCTGCTGGGGCAGCTGCTTACTGCCCTGCTGGGAGAATAGGTCTGAGAGGAAAGGCTTGTCGCCCTGTAGAGTGGACACCACCTGAGGGGGATGGTGGGGGAGAGGGGAAGGGGATGGAGCCTTGAGACGGGCAATGAGGAGCGATGGCTCGGAACCTCTTTGGATCGCAGCTGGGAGAAGAGGTCTGAGAGGAAGGGCTTGTCTCCCTGTAGAGTGGACACCACCTGTGGATGGTGGTGGGAGAGAGAGGGATGCGCAGGGGGGAACCATGAGATACGGCTGCTGGGGCAGCTGCTGAATGCCCTGCTGGGAGAATAGGTCTGAGAGGAAAGTCTTGTCGCCATGTAGAGTGGACACCACCTGAGGGGGACGGTGGGGGAGAGGGGAAGGGGATGGAGCCTTGAGACGGGCAATGAGGAACGACCTTGGAGAATGGGGCAATGAGGAACGATGGCTCGGAACCTCTTTGGATCGCAGCTGGGAGAAGAGGTCTGAGAGGAAAGGTTTGTCTCCCTGCAGCGTGGACACCACCTAAGGATGGTGGGGGAGAAAGAGGGAGGTGGAGAGGAGAAATGATGAGATAGCGCTGCTGCTGTCCATGTCACCACCTGAGAATGGTGGGGAAAAGGGTCGGAGGGGGGAAGAATGGAAGACTGCAAATGAAAACTCTAGGAATCTGGAACTGAACCTCTAGCACCACATGACAACATTTGATTTCAGAGTATCAACAATAAGAATTAACATCTTAAGTGCAACCCCTGATACTTCAGCTGTAGCTTCTGGGACCTGGGGTCCACAGCAGACTGCTATGCTTGTGTCACTTCGGAGAATTCTCAAAAGGGTGCACAGCAGACTGCTATGCTTGTGTCACTTTGGAGAATTCTCAAAAGGGTGCACAGCAGACTGCTATGCTTGTGTCACTTTGGAGAATTCTCAAAAGGGTGCAGAGCAGACTGCTATGCTTGTGTCACTTTGGAGAATTCTCAAAAGGGTGCACAGCAGACTGCTATGCTTGTGTCACTTTGGAGAATTCTCAAAAGGGTGCGCAGCAGACTGCTATGCTTGTGTCACTTTGGAGAATTCTCAAAAGGGTGCACAGCAGACTGCTATGCTTGTGTCACTTTGAAGAATTCTCAAATAGGTGCACAGCAGACTGCTATGCTTGTGTCACTTTGGAGAATTCTCAAAAGGGTGCGGAGCAGACTGCTATGCTTGTGTCACTTTGGAGAATTCTCAAAAGGGTGCGGAGCAGACTGCTATGCTTGTGTCACTTTGGAGAATTCTCAAAAGGGTGCACAGCAGACTGCTATGCTTGTGTCACTTTGGAGAATTCTCAAAAGGGTGCACAGCAGACTGCTATGCTTGTGTCACTTTGGAGAATTCTCAAAAGGGTGCACAGCAGACTGCTATGCTTGTGTCACTTTGGAGAATTCTCAAAAGGGTGCGCAGCAGACTGCTATGCTTGTGTCACTTTGGAGAATTCTCAAAAGGGTGCGCAGCAGACTGCTATGCTTGACCTCTGCTGTCCCATTCTCACGCACCTCCACATTATTGAACAGAATGAGGGAGTTGAAGGTCCCGTATGTTTGGTCGTCCAAAACCCGCGGTAAAATCACATCCTGCCCGAGAAAGGAGGCAAACAAACAAACAGGGGAGAGACGGTGGGGGGAGTGGGGAAGGGTGGGCACAAAAAATCAGGTTCCACAAGGGGGGCACTGGACTTGGACTGTATGTGAACTTGGCACGGCGTCTCTCTCGCGCCGTACAGAAAAATGTGGCAGACTGAAAATAACTTGAAGCCCCAACAGACGCACCTTAAAGCCCCAATAAGCACGCACCTTGATGTACCCCAGGCGATATGTCTGATGAATCTTAGAGCGCAGGATGGGGACCTGTCCTGGATGGGCACGGCCTCTCTCTCTTACAGTACATGGGAATTTGGTAGCAGCAGCAAGCACCTTAAAGCCGCAAAGCACGCACCTTGATGTACCCCAGGCGGTACGTCTGCGGTACATCAAGAAGCGCCCATCTAGACCCCAGCCCTGGATGGGCCGTACCGTGCCCATCCAGGCCGTACCGTGCTTCATGGAGCACCTTAAAGCCCCAATAAGCACGCACCTTGATATAACCTAAGCGGTATGTCTGGTGGATCTTGGAGCGCGGGCTGGGGTCCTGGATGGGCACGGTACGGCCTCCTTCTCTCACACAACTCTGCTTAAACCTCCTTAAAAACTACCAGACCAGAAACGACCTGCAGCCACTGAAATGGTGAGCACACACCTTGATATAACCTAAGCGGTATGTCTGGTGGATCTTAGAGCGCAGGCTGGGGTCCTGGATGGGCACGGCCTCGCGATACTCCACTTGCTCTAGCAAAAACTTGCGGTGCTGCTGGCGCGATGGCAGGTTGGGGTCATCTGGTGGTGATAAAGGGGCATAGAAAGCGTGTGTAGGGGTGATGGGGCACAAGGTATGGGCACGGCCTCGCGATACTCCACCTGCTCCAGCAGGAACTTGCGGTGCTGCTGCCGCGACGGGAGGTCAGGGTCGTCTGGGCGTAGGGCATAAAGAGCATGTGTGGGGGGCAGAAGAGAGGTGAGGGTGTGTGTGGGTGGGCCTCGCGTCCACCTGCTGCAGCAGGAACTTGCGGTGCTGCTGCCTTGAAGGCAGGTTCGGGTCGTCTGGTCTGGTGGATGGGGCAGGGTATGGTAGGGTATGGTAGGGTACAGGGCATCGGGCATGGGTCCTGGGGGATGGGCAATGGAGATACGTTATGTGGAACGGGGGTCATGGGATGGGAGAACGGTTCACAGGAAAGAAACACCGCATGCAAGGGGCACGCAGGGTACTGTGACACTATGATTCGAGTCCCCATGAGGTCCAGAATGGCACCGACGCCACTGACGTGGCATTGATGCTGACGAGGCACCAACTACTATGCTGACGTGGCATGGCACGTGGCGTGGCACACTCACATTCAAGAGCCCCAACAAGGTCCAGAATGGCGTTGTCAACAAAGAGCAGGTCGAACAGATTGGTGTCATTGAGCAGTACTGCCGAAGGGAAACAAAAGGGGGAGAGAGAGAGGGAGTGAGGCCAAGAACGGAGAGCGGGGAGAATGGGAGGGGAACGGGAGGAAAGGCGTATGGGTCGACGGTGTTTTTTTTTTTGTTGACTGAAAAAGGTGCTCTACACCTGGCTTTGTCAGCAAAAAGCAGGTTGAACAAATTGGAGTCGTTGAGCAGCAGCATTGCGGGAACGGACGAAGAGCAGACAAAATGCACGCACAGGAAAACAAAGGGGTTCCAAAATGGAAATGCCAGGCCATAAACCCCAAACCCTACAACCTGGACTTCAGCCCACTGTGAACCAGGGGGTTGAACAAGGGAAACCCTACACACCTGCAACCCTGACCTGAACACAATACCTAGATCCTTGGCAGCATGATACAGCTGATGCAACTTGGAGGCGCAATGTGAAACCTCCAAACCCTAAACCTTCAGCTCCACAACCTTACAGCCCTCCGCTCCGCACCTCAACCGCACCGCACACCTTAAACCCCTTACCAAGCCCCTTAGCAATGGGGTAGAGCTGGTGCAGCCCGTCTAGAATCTAGATTCTCCAGGTCCTTCTCACCCTGCATTGACTAGTGCTAACTCCCACACCCCGCACCCTCATACCCTACCATTCTCCACACCCTATACCCGAAAGCTCTGCATCCCTTACCCAGCCCCTTGGCAATGCGGTACAGGTGGTGCAGTCCGTCGAGATTCTCCAGATCCTCGCACTGACGGAACAGGTCCAACAGCTTGGGCACGTAGCCCTGGGGTGGGGAATGGATAGGGAGACGAGGGTATGAGGAAGAGTGGGAAAGAGGGAGTGCTTGAAGATTCATCACAAGGCAGTGGGTCCTCCTTGCACTGGCGGAACAGGTCCAGCAGCTTGGGTACGTAGCCCTGAGGGGGCAGATAGGGGATGTGGGGATGTGAGGCAGGCAGGGAGAGAGACAGCGCTTGAAGTATCACAAGGGGCAAATCCTCGCACTGGCGGAACAGGTCCAGCAGCATGAGTGGGGGTGATGGATGGGATGGGGATGGGATGGGGGAATGGGTGGGATGGGAGGAAGGAAGTGGGCACCTCAAAACAAGCACGCCAAACACACAGGGAGCGTGGAATGCGAGCGCTGAAGGCCATAGCCCCCCCATCCCCATCCCCCCATAGCCTGCTGCTGCGCGCACATCCTTCCAACCACCACCCATCCCCATCCCCCCATTCCCCCCCCCCCCCCCCCGGTTCTTCCCATTGTGCCTCCCATGCCCCCCCTGCCCATTCCTTGTCCCCCTCCCAGCCCTATACCTCTCTGAGGACGAGTGAGGCAATTCGGTCTTTGTGGAACAACGGCACGTCTGTGAGCATCTGCAGGGGGGGAGGAGGGGGAGCGTGGCATGGGGGCAGGGGCGAGGGGCAGAGACGAGTGAGGCAATTCGGTCTTTGTGGAACAACGGCACGTCTGTTAGCATCTGCGGGTGCAGGGTGGGGGAAGAAGAGGGGGGGGGGGGGGGGGGGGGGGTGGTGAGGAAGAGAGAGGGTAGGGTGGCGGCAGGGATGAAAAGGGCGGGAAGGAAGGTGATAGGGGGGAGGGTGGAGGTTGACGGGGTGAGAGCTGAAAGGCTGGTAAGAGGGGCAGTCAGTCAGTGAGGGACAATTCCTTATTAGGAACATGGTTGGGTGGGCAGGGAAGGAGAGTATGGGGAGAGGAGAGGAGAGGAGGGGGAGAAGGGTGGATGAGTGTGAAGAAAAGACATTACTTTCCTGTCGAAGATTATTAAAAAGAGGAAGATTCCTCTTGTCTCACCTTGGCAATGACAGGAAGGTTCCTCAACTCCACTGCAGGTAATTCAGACATGTCTGTTGCTGCTTCAAGGGCTGGTAACACACGCAGGGAGAGGAAGCAGGGAGAGGAAGCAGGGAGAGGAAGCAGGGAGAGGAAGGAGAAGACGAAGTTGACCAACCGAGCGATCAGCATGGAGCAATTTCTCAAGAAACCCACCATTCGAGTAACCCACCATTCGAGTAACCCACCAAACCCACTATTCAAATAACCTCCTTTCAAGTAACCCTCCAAACCCACCATTCAAGTAACCCACCATTCAAGCAACCCACCATTCAAGTAACCCACCATTCAAGTAACCCACCATTCAAGTAACCCACCATTCAAGTAACCCACCATTTTCGGGGGATGCCTCATGAATTGCAATCTCGTCACGTGCTCCTGCCCCTCCTCCCTCTGCATTCCCACCAGAGCACAGCACCGCAGCGCAGGGGACAGCACAGCACAGCACAGCAGCGCCGGGGCAGCACAGCACAGCACCGCACAGCACAGCACAGCACCGCACAGCACAGCACAGCACAGCACAGCACAAACACGGGGTACAGCGCAAACCCATGCAGTACAGCAGGAAACACAATTATCTCTTTGCATCCCACTGAACCCATAACACATTAAGTCGTGAGTGCAATCCATGATGACAAAGGACGAACACAACCAATGGCGCTACAATACTTATCACTTGAATGTTAATGTAAAACCAAAGGCGTGGGAGGAGTGTGACACACACATAGAGACCCCACCCCCCCCCCCTTTCTCCCCTCACACACACACACACTCACTCACCAGTGCCTGGAGGCACCTGCACTTGGCGCTGCACGTTGCATATTTGCTCCCTGCGGGTGAGGAGCGGGAGAGGAGCGAACGGGAAATGAAAGGGTCAGGGACGATTGAGCACAAGAGGCTATAAGCGCAACAAAGCACACGGAGCACAGAGCACAGAGCACAGAGCACAGAGCATGGAGCATGGAGCATGGAGCATCACAGTGCAGCGAGGCACACGAGAGAGGCACGCACCATATGTAGGAGCATCCCATGCTTTCTTGAAAGCTCAGCGCCAGGTCTGTTGCCACCTCGGGGTCCGTCCACGAGATGATGGTGTCTGCAGGGAGAAAGAGTGCGAGGAGAAGGGGAGAGGGAAGGAGAGAGGGAAGGCGAGAGGGGAGAGGGAAAGAGAGAGGGAAGGCGAGAGGGGAGAGGGCAGGAGAGAGGGGCGAGGGGGGGGGAGGGGGCGAGGGGGGGGAGGGGGCGAGGGGGGAGAGGGAAAGAGAGAGGGGAACATCAATGCTAAGGCCAGGTCTGTTACCACCTCGAGGTCCGTCCATGAGATGATGGTGCCTGGTAGTTGTCGTCAGCTGATATGCGGTGCACCAGCAGCAGCAAGTAATGGCGATGGAACCACCCACACACCCACACCCATCCCATCCCTCGCACCTTCTTGCCGCTGGTAGATGTCGTCTGCTGAGATGCGGTGCACCAGCAGTGTGGCGTTGTCCTCCTCGTCGATCACCACCAGCCCTATGGCGTCCGACCTCTGCCGCATGGGGGGGGGGGGGGGACAGGAGGACATGCAGAAGAACAAGTATTCATTATAACTTTCACGCGTTCACAGCACCCAGTGTGGCGTTGTCCTCCTCATCGATCACCACCAGCCCTATCGCGTCCGACCTCTGCCGCATTGGGGGGGTGACAGGAGGACAAGCAGAAAGACAAGTACTTGACTGCACTTTCACGCGTTTACACCAGCAGCAGCGTGGGGTTGTCCTCCTCGTCTATCACCACCAACCCTATGGCGTCCGATCTCTGCACCATGGGTGACAGGAGGACAGGCAGAGGAACAAGTATTCGTTTTAACTTTCACGCAGCGGCGTGGCGTTGTCCTCCTCGTCTATCACCACCAACCCTATCGCGTCCGATCTCTGCACCATGGGTGACAGGAGGACAGGCAGAGGAACAAGTATTCGTTTTAACTTTCACGCAGCGGCGTGGGGTTGTCCTCCTCGTCGATCACCACCAGCCCTATCGCGTCCGATCTCTGCTGGATAGGATGGATGGTATCGAAAAAAAAAAAAAAAAAGGTTTGAGATGGTACAGCACTTGAGAGTGGGCTTCTGAAGCGCTTAACACATGGTGGTGTCGTGTGCTGTCCTCCTCGTCGATCACCACCACAGCAGCCCCTATGGCGTTCAATCTCTGCAGCATCCCATGGGAGAAACATCACTAAGGGGAAAAACAGCACATACACACACACACGGGTATCATAGTAAGAAGCGCCTAGTGAACAGTGTTGTGCTTGCATTGCCCTCTCCGTCAATCAGCACAAGGCATCTGCAGCAGGGCACGGTGGCATGGGATGGCAGCAGCACTAACCATGGCCTGTCTGTTACCTTCCTTCTCGAAAATGATTTTCTTCATACAACCAAATGTGACGTGACTCAAGCCAACGTTATCAGCTGCCAGAGACCTGTCTGTCCTCGCTGTTCCCGTTGAACATTCAGGGAAAAGGAACAAACCCCTACCTCGAGATATTCCACTGACACGTGGCCTGTTCCCTTGTCATCCCACTTGCCATCGTCGTTCAGCCGATACACCTTCACTCGCTGTTGGGGGGAGGGGGGTGGGGGGATTGACACATCCGCAAACGAGAGAAAGGTTACGACTGAGTGAGTGATTCGATTTCAAAACGGAAGGAGGGGCAGCGCCGCGCCGTAGTCTCGTTTAGGAGACTTCAATAAGTTGTCTGAGAGCTTGCGAGGGGGTGAAGTAGTGGACAAGTACCAGGTAGCTGCACTCCACGTGGCAGTGACAGTGCCTTCATGCGAAGAGAGAGCCGTTCGCGAAATTAAACGGCCACAGAATCGCCGGCGCAGGGGGAAAGCAGAAACTGGTCGAAACGAATAACATGGTATCGAAACTTGTTTACCGTTTATTGAGAATAATCTTGACAAAAAGTCGAAAAGAAAGCATCTGGTATTGAGACGTCCCGAACTGGGAAGACAGTTGACAAGGAAGCATCTGGCTAAGCGATCTTAGAGACACGGAAAATCGCTAGTAACAAGAACCTTGAAGGAAAATAAGGATCGGGAACGCGAAACGCGGGCAAAGTAAGTGAAAGGAATGGCGTTTGGTAACGGCTTTTGAGAGGTTTTAAGGCGCTTCTGGAAGGGCTTTGAAGTCGACTCAAAAGACGGCTCGACTACGAAACGGATCTGCACGCGCATCCACGTGCATCACGTGCGTCCACGTGCATCCACGTGCGTGCACGTGCCTGGAGGTGGTTGTACTCCATCTTTCCCGCCTGCTGGCCTTGTTGCTGTTGACCCCCCGCTGCTGATGCCGCTGGTTGCTGCTGTTGCTGTTGCTGCTGCTGCTGCTGTTGTTGTTGTGGTGGTGGCGGTGGTGACGCCGGTGGCTGTGGTTGTGATGACGGTTGCTCATGCTTTGTCGTTGCTTTACTAGCGTGCTGTTCTTGCGGCTCCGAATCGTCTTCAGGCATCCTTAGGAGGAGGTCTTAACCGTCTAAAAGAGTTAACCTTGATTAAGATGCTCAATTGACGAACCCTCGTTACTGGATGAAATCGGAGCGGCTCTTCGAAAGCTACAATCCGTTAAGCCTCGTCCTATGGGCGAAATCGTCAGAAATTCTTAAGCCGCTAACGTCATGGATGCAAAAACCAACTGCACACAGCGCAATGCACAACAGAAACCGTCACCTTCAGAGTCGAAACTCGCGGCAAAAACCAGATCCCTTTTTCCCTCACTACACGGACATCGGCCGCTTCTAACCCCACGCGAACAGTCAACTCAATACCGTTAGCATCTAGACCTAATTGGTGCATGCACCGAGTAATTCACTAGCCCAAGGGTCAGAGGGAGCACGATCAAGCTGTCAGAGGCAGGACTGGATAAGCACACACGCTGATTAGTGAACTAACAAGAGCACGCGGTAGGTCAGCGCTCCTCCAAGGCGATTGACTGGATTCACTATTCTGTCACCAATAAAGTGGTCAGAAAAGGTGAACAGTTGATTGAATTTCGGGTGATGTGACTGCGAAAAGTAACCCGACGGCTGCTCCAATCCCGTTGTAGATAGTACCGGTGACGATACCAGAGTGGTAACTCAGCCCAAGGGGGAGGGGGAGTAGCTGGAGCGTGGTCGTCGTGGCCTGCGAAGTACTTCGAAACGTGAACTCGCGAAGATATGGCGGGAAAGTGAACGGCTCAAATCAACCCGACACCTTTTACAAGGACAAACTCGCCGTTTTACAAGAATATACAATCTAATACTACATGAAACTTCAGTAACAACACAAACAATGCAAATCTGCAAAACTGAGGGAAACAAGAGTGTGCTAACTCAAATCTGTAAGCTCTTCATGCAACCTAGCACATTCTGCATTCTCGTTGCAACCTACCGTATCATGCGCTTATGGAGCTTGCAGGACCTCTTCTTATATAAGCCCCTTTCAATATTTCTTAGACCCACCCCCGCCAAAAATGGATTTTCGAATGAGATGTCCGATGGAACCGCCACTGCTGCCACTGCTACTTTCTCCTGTTCCAATAGCGGAGCCTATTACAAGTGAGGATGGCGGGACGCCTTTCAAGCAGCCGTCCAAAGTTGAGAGTATCTGAATCATAACAGGGGTGACAATGAGGCAAAGAGTAAACGAAGAGTTGAGGGTCAAATATGTACAAAAACAAGGTACGCCATTCTTGGCACTGTGCAAACACAAGCGGAATGCGTGAGAGTGCCCTACAAAAACATCATCACAACGAAAAGAAGTGGTTACCTCAGTGAATTCTGGCCTGACAGCAGGGTCGGCAGCCCAGCAGCGTGTGATGAGACTGCTGATGCGAGATGGCAGGCCGGGAGGGAGAGGCGGGCGTAGGTTCCTGCACATGGACAGAAACAAAAAAGAGGACAAAATGATAGTGAAAAGGGGAAAACACACACATTTTACGCATGAAAGAAAGGTTGCATGCCCGCAAGCAGTTGTGCACCAGGGTGTTCTGGAGAAGAGATTATCCAGCAAAGCACCTTAACGTCGACGACTGCGAACAGCTGGCGAGAATCTTTTGAGATGCGTGCTGAGAGCAATACCTTTGCAGGACTCCAATGGCTGCTTGAAGGGGCGTGAGGCCAGTGTAGGGCAGGTCGCCTGTGATGACCTCCCTGGTGAGACAGCACACAATGGGAGATGTTGTGCGGAGAGGGGAGATGATGGGAGAAGATGGGAGACGGTGAGAATTAACAGGTGACACTGGGAAATGATGGGACTAGATGGACGAGAATGGAAGCGGAGGGCAAAGTGAAGAATGCATGCACAGGGAGGTGGGGTGGGGATGTGGGGAAGTTGGGCGCAGCGAGGATGCATGACAGCTTGGCAATCGGGAAGTGAAAAGCACGTGCATGGAAAACTGCACAGGAAAGAGACCCACCACATGGTGACACCGAATGAGAAGATGTCAGCGCGATGGTCGTATGGCTGGTGCTCCATGACCTGCCAAGGCAAGCAAGGTCAGCGAAGAGAAGGTGAATCTGAAATGTCTCAAAGCTTGACTAGCGTATGGCGGGTGCTACAACATCTGAGCGAGCAGGAGAACCACTGCAAGTGGAGAAGCTACAGAATTGACTCAGAAGGGGAACTGGCAAAGGATTGGGAGAAAGAGAATGGCAAAGGAATGGGTGCACCCGGAGGTTGCGGCACCGGAAGTGGGGTGTACCATCACCTGCTACCTCAGGTGCCATCAGGTGTTACCTCAGGTGCCATCAGGTGCTACCTCAGGCGCCATCAGGTGCTACCTCAGGCGCCATCAGGTGCTACCTCGGGTGCCATCTGGCCGTGACTTGGCTGTGGGTTCTCTACACAGCTGCCCTGCCTGCTTTGATGGCAGCAATCTCGCCATCAGGTGTTACCTCGGGCGCAGTTAGGTGTTACCTACCTCAGGTGCCATCCAGCGGTAGGTGCCTGTCTCTGCTGTCATGTCTGACTGTGATTTGGCTGTGGGCTCTCCACACAGCTGCCCTGCCTGCTTCGATGGCAGCACGTGTTACCCCAGGTGCCACCACGTGTTACCCCAGGTGCCACCAGGTGTTACCCCAGGTGCCACCAGGTGTTACCTCAGGTGCCGTCAGGTGTTACCTACCTCAGGTGCCATCCAGCGGTAGGTGCCTGTCTCTGCTGTCATGTCGGGCCGTGACTTGGCAGTGGGCTCCCCACACAGCTGCCCTGCCTGCTTCGATGGCAGCAGCCTCGCCACTCCAAAGTCACACAGCTTCACCACCTGAGGTTCGTTGGGAGGATGAGGAGGAAGGTGTCAGCGTGGGTCCTGAACTGAAAGTCCAATTGAATAGTCGATGGTTCAGTTCAGTGGGAGTGGGCTCCCCACACAGCTGCCCTGCCTGCTTCGATGGCAGCAGTCTCGTCACTCCAAAGTCACACAGCTTCACCACCTGAGGTTCGGGCGAGGGGAGAGGGGTTGGAAAGAGGGAGCGGGAAGAGGAGATAGAGTGAGGGTGTGGGAGGAGTGAGGGCAGCATTGGGAGTAACTGGGGACATGACTATGCTGCTACTGGCTCGCCCCACACAGCTGCCCTGCCTGCTTCGATGGCAGCAGCCTCGCCACTTCAGGAATAGTGAATACAGGAAAGCAAAGAAGGGCAGGCTACGAAGAGAAATCTGGTCCTGGTGCATGATGGCCTTACAGTGAAGAAAGTCCAGCCCTCATGCTGCTTCCCTCTCAGCCACATCCCACCACTCTCAACCACATCATGTCACTCTCAACCGCGTCGCACCACTCTCACACCACTCACATTGTTCTCACCCACCAGCAGGTTAGCATCCTTCAAATCCCGGTGCACAATGCCCCTATGGTGCAGAAAATCCAGGCCTCGGGCTGCATCCCTCTCAAACACAACACTACCATCCACTCACACCACTCTCAACCGCATCACATTCCTCTGAATCAATGTCAACCACTCTCAACCACTCACATCGTTCTCATCCACCAGCAGGTTAGCAGCCTTGAGGTCCCGGTGCACAATGCCTCTCCGGTGCAGAAAGTCCAGCCCGCGTGCTGCATCCCTCAGGATCTTGAGCGCCACTGGCAGGGGCAGCCCGCACCCCCTCTGGTCCAACACGTCCCGCACACTGCATATGATAGGGAGGATGAGCAAAGCAAGGCGCAGGAGGACGAAGAAAAAAAACGGGAAATGAATGTCCTTGCAAAGAAGCCAGTCCAGCCCATGTTTGAGAATTCTTAAAAAACGGCTTGCAGTGGGAGAAAGCTGTATGACGGTGACAAAGAACCGAGGCAATGCCATACCGCCATATCTGCCCCATGCCATGAGGTCTGTGACAACGAATAGCAGCACGGGGCGGAGAACAAAAGTGGACTCAACACTAAACCATACCTGCCCCGTGCCATGAGCTCTGTGACGATGAATAGCCGCGGCCAGTGGGAGCATGCCCCGATGAACTGTACCAGGTTCTTGTGCCGTACCATCCTGGCAGATAGCACGGGACACGCAACAGGCAACAGACATGAGGGGACAAAGAGAGATGAAGTTGAATCCAAGGCAAGTGTGCGAGTCTAGAGGCAACCACAACCCAATGAACTGTACCAGGTTCTTGTGCCGTACCATCCTGGCTGGCAGAGCAGACAGCACAGGATAGAGAAGGCACATGGACACAGAGGACAGAGAAGACGATAGTGACGTTATTGAGGATCGACGCTACAAGGGAGGAAAATGATGGTGTGTAATTCATGATCATTATTAAATGAGAGAAATTATAATTGTAGTGATAATGCAAAATTTGAATCCCCAGAAATGATGTAGCACTAACTAGTTGGGTAAAAAAAGGAAGAAAAAAACTGAAAACCTATCACTCCCCCACCTTCTCCACTCCCACTCCCACACGCCCTAAAACACACTACAGGACACTGTAGTGCTCCTCATTATAATCACCTCGTGTTACCACAACGCACCTCATTATAGCGACCTCCTGCTTGAAGCACTGTAGCAATTCCAACGCTGTCGCACTCCGCATAGACACTGACATGCCTGCATCCCCCATGCTTTCCCCCCCATTTGCACGGGCCCTATACCACACTAACTGACTCTCCAACGCACCTCATTATAGCGACCTCCTGCTTAAAGCACTGGAGCAGTTCCAGACCCGTGGCATGGCACTTCTCATAGACACCGACATGCCCGCATGCCCCACTCCTTTGCTCCATTCCCACGGGCCCTATTTCACAAGTGACTCCAACGTACCTCATTATGGCAACCTCTTGCTTAAAGCACTGTAACAATTCCAGCGCCGTAGCACTCCGCATAGACACTGACATGCCTGCATCCCCCACCCCGGCCGGCCCTCCCGTCAGCCCACCCCCAGCGGCGCCCATATCGTCAGCAGCAGCGAGCGTGATGACCTTCACTGCCACGTCCTGCCCTCTGTACGTGCCTCTGCACAGCCGCCCTGACGCCCCTCCGCCCAGCCTCTCGCCTATGCCCAGCTGTGAGAGGTACGGGGGGATGGGAGTGAAGGTAAGATGGGAACGGTGGGTAGAGAGGGGAGATGGGAAGGCAAGGGGGAAATGGGAGAGTGTATGAGACGGAGGCTAAAAGGGAGAGAGATAGAGGGAGAAAGGCGGCCATATAATCTGGAGCAGCGAGTATGATGACCTTGACTGCCATGACCTTGTCTCACATCATGCTAGTCCACCGCCCAGTCCTCATACGCCATGGACTCCAACACTGCCCCCGTAGCTACAGGCGCACAGGAGGGCACAGAGCCGGTACATGCAGGGAAGGAAGAACCAATGCCTGACTCTCAACTCACATCATGATAGTCCACCGCCCAGTCCTCATACGCCATGGCCTCCAACACTGCCCCCGTAGCTACAGGCGCACAGGAGGGCACAGAGCCGGTACATGCAGGGAAGGAAGAACCAATGCCTGACTCTCAACTCACATCATGGTAGTCCACCGCCCAGTCCTCATACGCCATGGCCTCCAACACTGCCCCCGTAGCTACAGGCGCACAGGAGGGCACAGAGCTGGTACATGCAGGGAAGGAAGAACCAATGCCTGACTCTCAACTCACATCATGGTAGTCCACCGCCCAGTCCTCATACGCCATGGCCTCCAACACTGCCCCCGTAGCTACAGGCGCACAGGAGGGCACAGAGCCGGTACATGCAGGGAAGGAAGAACCAATGCCTGACTCTCAACTCACATCATGGTAGTCCACCGCCCAGTCCTCATACGCCATGGCCTCCACCACGGCTCTCAGATTCGCCAGCTGCATCTGCTCTGAGGCCTGCTTCACGTCCCGCTCTCTCCACTTGATACGCACCACGTGTGTCAACGCGTCCTGTAGCTCCGCCTCCTGATGTACACAAGACGGGTAAGGGAGCGGAGGAGCGCAGGGAGGGGGAGGGGAGGAGCGCAGGGAGGACATAAAAAATGCACGTCTTGCTCTCTCCACTTGATGTGCACCACGTGTGTCAACGCGTCCTGTAGCTCCGCCTCCTGGCAACGCAAGACAGGGCAGGGCAGGAAGAGAAGGGCAGAGGGGGGAGGGCAGGGAGGATAGAAAGTGTGAGATGGCTGTGGCCGGTAAGGAACGAACGGGACGTTCTCTCCACTTGATGCGCACCACGTGTGTCAACGCGTCCTGTAGCTCCGCCTCCTGATGTACACAAGAGATAGCAGGGCAGAGAGAGGAGGGCAGAGAGCAGCAAGTGTGAGATGGCTGTAGTCGGTAAGGAAAGAACGGGACGTTCTCTCCACTTGATGCGCACCACACCACGTGTGCCATTGCATCCTGTAGCTCCGCCTCCTGGCATACACAAACAGGTAAGGGAAGGGAGGGAGCGGAAGGCCAGGGGGAGATTACGTACAGAAGGACGGTGAGTCAGTGAGGTGTGTCAGGGCGTCCAACTTCTCCGCCTTCAGACCAACACAAGACAAGACGAAGTTTTGAGATGCATGTCAGGAATGATGCACCCAGGAAAAATGCACGTAGATCAACGAATTTCTGGTGAGCTGATTTCGACTAGGTTGGAAAGCACATTCGTACATAAAAGTTCTGGTGGTGCTTGGACATGGTGACCACGGGATCTAGTTATTGAATACCTTAACATACAAGGGTCAAAACATGAGAGCTCACGAGGAAAAGCAAGCCCATACATTGGCGTAGAAGTTCTGGTGGTGCTTGGGCGTGGTGACCACAAAGTCCTGTAACGCCATGCCATCTGACGTGCTGAACACATGCGCCTCCTGTGTTGGGGATGAGCAAACAATGTGCAAAGATGTGCGATGATGTGTGGAACGAGAGCAGAGTGAACTGGAACAGGCATGCAGGGAGGAGGAGGATGCAAAATCAGCACCCCAGGTTGAATTTCACGCACGCAAAAACCAACCTCAAAACAACAGCTTCAACTCACATTGATGTTAACAACAGCTTCAACAGCTTCATGTCCGAGTTTGCCAGTGCCGAAGTAAACCACTTCAGCAGCCCCGGTCTATCTATGAGGCACACCACAAGAACCAAACCCAGACCAACACCTCCCCCACTCACATTGATGTTCAGCTCCATGCCCGAATTCGCGAGCGCTGAAGTGAACCACCCACTTCAGCAAAACCCAACCCCAGTGTATTTATGCAGCACCGCAAAACCCAACATAAAGACAACGACTCCCACTCACATTGATGTTCAGCTCCATGTCCGAATTCGCCAGTGCCGAAGTGAACCACGTCAGCAGCCCTGGTCTATCCGGGGCCGCGATCGAAACCTCCCATCCGTACACATACCCGTCGCCCTCCGCCCCTTCCACCCCCGGCCCGTGCCAGCTCGACCCCCCACTCCGACTATCATCCTCTTCCACGTCTGTCCCTAGACTCGACGCGGACCCTCTCGACCCAACCAGGAACCCTCCGCCGCTCCCCATCCCTCCCGCGCTCCCCATCCCTCCTGCGCTGCCCAGCCCTCCTCCCAAACCGTCGCCCCTCAGGTCCGACGCTGACGAAAACGGCACGCCTTCCCTTAACGTCGCCGCTAACGAGAAATGACTGCTGCTGCCCTTGTTGTTGCCGATACTACCAGACCCAAACGGCGACCGGCCAGTAAGCGACCCGGATTTGCGGCCAGTCGCGGTGGGAACGGCTTGGTTCAAGTCCACAGCAGAGGATCCTGCCGAGCCTAGGCCGCTCAGGCTGTAGCAGTTGGGGGCGGAGGAGCCGAATGTGGGTTGCGGGATGATTCGCGACAGGGTTCCGGAACAGGGGATGGACCTGCGCGGAGCCGGATGCGAACCATGAAGCTGCGGCTGTGACCCAGACGCGGACAGCCCTGATGGCCCTGACGATCCTAGAAACGCGCCTGTCGCTCCTGTCGCTCCTGTTGCTGGTAACCCTGACGCTCCTGTTGCTGGTAACCCTGTCGCTCCTGTTGCTGGTAACCCTGACGCTCCTGTTGCTGCTAGACCTGATGCTCCAGAGTCGGAAGAGCCTGCAGAAGCAGCACTCCCGCCAGCCGCTGCTACCGCAGCGGAAACCGCTGCCTTTTGGGAACCTTCCAGGCTTCTCCCGGACGGGCTATTGCTTGCATAATCCGAGCTGTGCCTCCTCCTGGGGGAACTTATAAAATCCCCCGCGTTCCCCCCGCCTGCCGAGCCTGACGACTTGGCTCGGCCGAGGCAAACCCGACGGACCCGGACGACCGGCCCGAGGTCCTCATCGGTTTGATTGAGCGTGCGAGCCTCGTTGATGAGGCGCATGTGGAGCAACACGTCCTCATGACGCTGTGGGTTGACACTCAGAGCGTACCTGCGGTGAGTCGTTGGGTAGAAAACGGACAAGTCAGCAAAGGTCGACAAATACTCGAGGTGCTACGGGAAAGGCATGAAACTTGCTACCGAGGAAAAAACTCATGTTACGGGTCAGTTAATGAACACTGCATGTTCCCCGGAAAAGCGTGTTCGGAAAAAGAGCTCAAAACATTCGCGCAACTGCGGGGTTACGCGATAGAAGACAGGACGGCGACCAGTGTGACGACAAGAGACAATATACGAAAACTCTTCAAATTTGACAGTACAAAATCCGCTATCCAGAAACTGCAGAATCCAGCCAGCGAATTGGAGGAGTTCTGAACTGCAAGTCCAGCTTCAGAAAAACCTGTTGGAAATTCTGTTTCCGGCAGTGCGACCTAAGAAAACAATACTCACAACTTGACAGGTCGGTCGAGCTCTGACGTCTGACTCCTACACCGCAGACTGCTTGTTGTCCTACGTACGTTAAGTGTGTTAGGACCGCGGTACGTGAAAACCGCTAGGAACGATAGTTACGTTACCTTGACGGTAGAGATGCGAAGTGCTTGGACACCGAGTCCTGAACCTCTCTGCTATGTCCGTCCCTCTGAACATTCTCCAAAACGATCCGCAAAACCGCCTGACAGAGCGACTGCTTTACGGACAGGCCGCCTCCGGTTGCTGGAGCCGAACTGACAGGTTGAACCGGCGACGGAAGGTCTTGCTTGAATTCGAGCGACTGACCGAGAGCGTCAGGAGTGGACAACGCGTACGACAAGCGACTGAGGTCTAACGCGGACGAGGATGGGGAGAGTGGAGGCTTAGAGCTTGACGAGGCAGCCATGACACCCATTCACATGGATATGAGGAGGCGGAGACGCCTGTCTGCGATGTGTTGGTCAGTTCGTAGAAATAGTCAGTCTTAACGAATTGCTAGCTGCCTGCCTGCACGAGAGAAGACTTTATCTAGCAGTATTCCTTTAAACTCGGCTTCAACACACCATATACTCCGTTATCTCCGTGACACGAAACGTCAGTATCGCAAGGACAACACTCCTAAATCTAGACGACCACCTCGCCGCCACCACAAAACGTTTCCGTAAAGCTGCTGAAAAAGAAAACGAACAGATTACTTTTGCGAACGAGAATCTAAAAAGATTCACGAAGTCGTCAAATCCTGCTGTGACTTGCAAATGAACTGTCTCGGACGGTCCTTGCTGTAACTTGCTGCAATCAGCTATTGGGGGATTGGGGAGGTTTGCTTCTGAAAAGCGTGCTGCGACCAGAAACCAAGAGAAGGCTGGGAAAGAGGTGAGCTGGTTTGAGTGGTGCTGCTGGTTGGTTGCGCGCCAGAAGTTCGCCTGACAGCCGCCATGAAACTAATCATGGGACGGTTGGGATCACTGAAGATCGATTTCTGGACGGTTCAGATGACATCGCGAGGGTTCGAAAGCGGGAATCCGAAAACGGATTATGTTGAGATTCGCAGGACCAACATCGAGGTGTCTCTGCGCTGGATGCCCCACTTGTCACGGGGAATTCCGAGAATCATCATTCGCCGTCGGATTACAGCAGAACGACCTTCCGAGATCTGGGGAGTCAGCGCTATCGCTTATTGACGGAGGTTTTCCCCTTCCGCTTCTCAAGGGGAGAACCAGCCCACTTGACGGAGCAGGCTGAAGGAGCATAAAATGATGCTGCCACAACGTGCAGCGATTCTGTCACGACAGCACTGATCCGCTGAACTTCACACGCGACGCGATTCATGGCCGACTGTGGTTGTGCATGAGTGTTTTAGGTGGTGGTTTATTTTGCAAAATAGCTACAGTGAACATAAATACCACACCTATTTCAAAGTGCATTTCCATGTGTGATAAGAGAAGGTGGCATATAACTGCTCTGGTTATACACACAGTATGCTTTTCTAGCTGTAGGCCTTTTTCCGTGGTGGCACCATCACTTCATCCACCATGTGCACCACCACAAACTCGTTTGTAATAACGTCCGCAGCTACAAGGTGAGCCCCATCGCTTGCACCTTTCCCACCAAATTGCACCCCAGGAACAGCGAGGCGAACCAAAGGATGTCTCGAAGCTGTTGGAAACTGCAGATTGAGGGAAGAGAAAGATTACAATATCAAGTCAGTTGGTGGTTTAAGGGCCAAAAGATGCATCAAACAAACCTCGCAAGGTCCGCACATGAACAGATTGTTTAAAGACACCGTTTCAGCGTGTGACGTACCTCGTCACCGGGTGCCGAGCTGCGAAGGTCAGCTGCAGTGAGTCTTGTCTCAAGGATGTGGAAAAGAAGCACCTAGTGCAGGGGGGGGGAAGGGGAACAGGAGAAGGATACACAGACACATACAAGCTGTAGAAGCTGCATAGCTATCATTATATGCAACTGATTGGTGTGCATAATTCTGCACATGAACACACAACTTCTTCTGTGCTTAACAAACACTTTCCATGATCCGCTTGTACCTGGATAATATTCTGTGGGTTGTCCGCAATAGAGTCAGCAACAGCAGGCGCCAAGTGATCCCAAGCATCGTTCGACGGCACCATCAGTGTCAGCTCTTGGGTCTCGAGCTTGCGGCATAGATACTCCTGAAGCTCTGTACCAGCAATCGTACAGGCAGAAGAGACATAGCGACAACAGATAGCCACGCTGAAGAATCTTTCAAGTCGACTCAAATGCAGACTCCTGAGTCTCGAGCTTGCGGCATATATACTCCTGAGGCACTGAAACAACTACCGTGTGCGCATAAGGGTCATAGAGACAACAGAGAGCCGCGCTGAAATAAACAAGTTTCTGAAACAGCATATGCTGGAAACGCAGCATTCTCAGCAGCAGTTCCGGCTGCTTCTCATGCACCCACTCAACACTTCCCCGAAGCACATCTGCAATTCTTGGGATTTTTCCAGAAGCCCACGTCCACTCACCAGCCTTCTGGAGCGCCTCAGTGAAGCGAGAGAGTCCTTTCTTCTGCAGCGCTGCCAGCACAGATTCACATGCCAGTCGCCCACGGTGTGCCCGGGCCTGGGCCAGCGCAGGGTCGTCAGAGACTGCTTTCATCTGCAGGATGTGGATGCATGGGGAGGGTTCAGGATCTGGTCAATAAAGAGTGGAACAGGAACTTTCGGCATATCCCAAGCCAAAGAGCCCGGGCCCGAGCCAGAGCAGGATCGTCGGAGACTGCTTTCATCTGTAGAATATTGATGCGTGGGGAGCAACATGCAAGTGCTTCTTGTGTCGCCTCACAGATTACACAATCCATAACAAAACTGGACTCTTCAAAGGTTAGTGAGGAGCCCATTGTTGACCTTTTAGAGTCGGGTTGGCAAGAAGGGAAGCACCCCAGCACAATGCTGACGTGGCAGAGTGCCTGTTTTGAGACGTCTCAAAACCTTCAAAATGTTGGCGAAGGAGACTAGCTAGAAAGCACGAGGAATGCTCACCTGCACGAGGGGACGGATGAACTGGCGCGAGTAGAGACCCGGGTCCATGACGTCAAAATAAGAGCATTACAAGTGGAGACCTTTACGCGCCTCACAATTTGCCTGCAGTGGTGCGTGCACTAGAGGGGAGGGGGACCCACCTGCACGAGGGGGCGGATGAACTGGCGCGAGTAGAGACCCGGGTCCATGACATCCGTGATTCCATGCACGGCAATGCTGTCTCCCACATATGCATTAGCGCGCGACACCTGAGGAAGGGTGGGGAAGGAGGCCAAAGGAATGAGGCCAGTTGCACGATAGGGTGCAAGGTGAGGCACGGGTGTAAACCTGGGTCCATCTGTGATTCCATGCACCGCGATGGTGTCACCCGCATATGCATTAGCGCGAGACACCTGAGGAAGGGAGAGGAAGAAGGGAGAGGAAGAAGGGAGGACCACAGGGTTGGTGGTAAGCCCAGAGGGATGAGATCTCACGAGTGATGCGCGGAGGGATGAAGTGATGCCCGGATTTGAGACATCAGTGATGCCGTGCACAGTGCTGCTGCTGCCACCGATACATTGTCCGCAACATTTGCGATACAGACCGGCTCACCCAGGTGCAGTGCGGTTAAGGGACAGAACAACGAGGTAGTGAGGTACTTGCGGGCCGTAGGGCGAGCCTGCGGGGCCGAATTCGAGGACGGGCGCGTACACCTTGACGAGGGCGACGTTGGATAGACACAGAAACAGAGAGGGAGTGAATACTGTGCAGAACGGTTGAGGGAGGTAAAGGCGGTACCTGCGGCCCATAGGGCGAGCCTGCCGGGCCAAACTCGAGGATGGGCGCGTACACCTTGACGACGGCGACGTTGGAAAGAGTGCCGTACTGCACGATGGGGAGTGCGGGATGGGTGTGGGATGGGCAAGTCGATTGTGGGAGAAGCTGAGGAAAACGGAACTCTGTTTTTGAGGCGCCTCAAAAACAGACACCTTGACGACGGCGACGTTGGAGAGGATGCCGTACTGCATGACGGGGCGAGCAAAGATGAGGAAGGGCGAGGAAAGAAGAGGGATGGTGAGCAGAGATGAGGAAGGGCGAGGAAAGAAGAGGGATGGTGAGCAGAGATGAGCTGAATGCGCTGCCACTCGTGCGCAGCATCGAGAGCAGCTGGCTAGCTGGCTGGCCACGGCTGGCAGAACAACATAGCTGAATGCGCTGCCACGATATGTGTCAGCCTCTTCTTGACGACGTGGAACAGCAGCTGGCTGGCCGTGGCCCACGGCATCGCGCGCAGCCGACCAGAACCCCTCCCTTTTCCCCCTTCCCTACCTTCCCCTCTTCTTCCGTTTCCTCGATCCACAGCAGTTTCACACCATAATTTCGGGACGAACGGATCGCAGCGCAGCTGGACATGCGCCAGTCTCTTCTTGACGACGTGGAACAGCAGCTGGCTCGCCATGGCCCACCCCCCTCTCCCCACTCCCCCCCTTCCCGCTCAACCATCCCCGTACTCCAATTCTATACCAGTTCCGCACCTTAGTTTCGGGGCGTGCGGAGCGCAGCTGCACATGCGTCAGCCGCTTCTTGACGACGTGGAACAGCAGCTGGCTGGCCATGGCCCACGGCATCGTGCGCAGCATCTCCGCGTCTTGCGCCGGCATCGCCGCGAACGCGTCATCGGTCGGCGCGAGGAAAGTGACCCCCGTGCGCGCGCCGAAAGGGGACGCGACATACGAGTCGATCAGCTTCGATGCGCCTGGGTAGAGAGGGGTTATCAACAGTTCAAACGGGTGAAAGAATGATTCCAGAAAGTTCAACTGACGGCATCGCCGCGAACGCGTCGTCGGTCGGTGCGAGGAAAGAGACCCCCGTGCGCGCGCCGAACGGGGACGTGACGTACGAGTCGATCAGCTTCGATGCGAGTGGATGCAGAGTGGTGATTAATAGTTGAAACGGGTGAAAGCATGATTCCAGGATGTTCAGCCGACGGCTCCGATTTCTGGCACCTCAGAACCTGTAACCCCATTCAAGGCGCCTCAAAAGTTGAGGGCTCCGATTTCAGGGTCTTAAAAGCAAGAACACGGAACTCTAAGAGATTGCCTCGGGGTTTCTGAGCACAATCCGTACCTGACGATTCCAGGGCCTTCAAGAAAGAGCCGAAGCCCTTCAGCGTATCTCTCCACGGCAGGTCATAGGCGAGGGATCGAGGCGTGACGCTCAGAGCCGCTAGAGTCAACGTTAGGAGCACCAAGAAACTCTTCATGGCGGGCGAATGTTCTTATATTGAGCGGAGCGGACGTCGAGGTAGCAGAATGTGTGTGAGCCGGATGAGTGGTGGTGATGGTAAAACACGAATAGTACTGGCGGGTGATTGCGTGTGCGAGCGGTGTCGCTAGACAGCGAGAAGCTGACGGACGTGGCCACGATTGTCTACAACACGACACTAAAAGTAATCATCTTATCGCACAACGACACTTTCTTAGGATTGGAAGGAGTTTAGCTTTTGCCTGAAACCTGCTGGTTAACACGCAAGAGGGATCAATACAGCGAACGCAAAATTAGAAGGCAGCTCTGTCTGTAGCCCGGAAAGCGTTCACAGGGAGGCTCGGTAAGCCCAGAATGGCGGACTGATGGTTGCAGGAGGGTGAAGGGAGGTGACCCAGGGAAAGGGAATGGACGGTGCTTCTGACGGCGAAGTTTTTTTGGCCGACACTGGCGTGGTGGGGTGGGGTGGTACAGGGAATGGGGATGGGCGGCTTTCAAGAATGGTTTGGCGGGAAATGCCTTGAATCGGGTCGCGCTTGATGTTTTGTGCCAGAATTTGGAATGCGATTCGGTGCATTCACATTTTGAAATTGGTTACAGTTCAACTCGATAAAAAACGTGAATCCCTCCTTCAGCTATATTCGCAAAACCGTACTACTACATCACAGGAGCTCCTTCATGCAATCCTTGTTGTAGCCAGTTCCTCAATTCAAGCTGGCAGAAAACACAGAAACAGAAACAAAAGATGTCACAAAACTCACCACATTCCTCATGTACGCAAGAAGCAACAGCTGTTCGGGCAAAATACTTACAGGAACACGTGGATTCTTGTTGATAGCCTCTTCTAGCTCGTATGCAGTAACCAGCAAACGGGCAGGTAAGAATTCAAGGTCCTCCACACTGGCTGGTTGCTGCCCAGAGGCAACCGCTACAAAATTGGCATCTATAAGCCGCCCGTAAGCCTGTTGAACACAGTGGAATCAAAAGAGGGGGTGTAAGATAAACCACTTAATGGCACAACTAGTTATGTAGCAACGAAGTGGTGTAACCATTGTTGCGTGCACAGTGCAACATTACCTGTAAGGCGGATTCTTGAGAGAAGACATCAGAGACAGAGCCTCTGGCCGCCACTCTCCGAGACTCATACTCTGGCCAAGGGAGGGATGGGTGGAGGTGTGGGTGGATGGATGGAGTGGGAGAGCGGCAATCATGCAGCCGAGACAATATAAGCAAGATTGCGGGATTGACGCAATAACAATGTGGAATCAATGGCAGCCGAACAATGTCCCCATAAATAGCATGGTACAGGGTTGAAGAACTAAAAGGGCACGGAAGAGAGAGGCACCTTAGACAGACACCAACCCACCTTTGAAGGCTGTGTGGAAATTTATAGGGTGTGATCCACTTGCTGCTCCTTCGACTGTAGTGCCGCCTGCCCCACCAGCCCCACCAGCCCCACCAGCACCAGCAGCAGTGCCACCAGCGCCAGCCGCAGCACGTGCTTGGGTGCGGTGGAATGCCACTAGCAGATAGAGCTCCAGGACTGACAGGCCTGTGTGGGTGCCAGAGGGACGGAGGTGGAAGAGAATGGTAAAGTCGACTGATAATTCAATTCCGAATCACTTGAAAGCATCTGCTGGCGGATGGGCTGTGTGGTTGCAGCATAGGCTCTTTCAATAATTGGACACACACGGACAAGTCTAGGGTCTGGCCTTCTTGCCTCTTGAGACGTCTCAAAATGAATCACCTGAGAGCATCTGCTGCCGGATGGGCTGTGTGGTGGCAGCATACGCCCTTTCAAAATCAGCCACCGAAAGAGTTTGACCTCCTCTCCTCACCATCTCGCACACTGCTCGGAACCTGCGGGCAGAAAAAAAAGGGGGGGGGGGGGGGGGGTGGTTGGGGATGAGCGGGAGGGTTCCTGAGCACAGCAGAAAGCAGTGCAAAAAAAGAAGTGTGGATTTGCCATCTTGTCAATTTACCCGAGCTTGAAAATGTGTGGTGCTGTGCGGTTGACCGCGGTCGACTGCAGCAAAACGGCCAGCACCGAGGGATGCTGGAAAACCGCTTCCACCCGTTCGTTGAACCCCGCTGCGAATGCAGCCCAAGAATCGGTGGCGTTAGGAGGAGCATTGGTAGCAGGTGCAGTGGTGTTGTGGTGAAGTGGAGGAGCAGATGAATCAGGGTTGGGAGGAGCAGGGGAGACGGATGGTGGCCTCTGCGCTGGGAGAGTGAGGGTTGAGTGAAGCAATCTGTGAAGGGGGGGAGATGAGGGGACACAGAGTGTAACTGGGGACTGAAACAATCAAGAGCTGTTTCAGGTTTAAGTTCCCACCCTCCTTCGCAGGGTTGAGTCAGGGTTGAGTGAAGCAAGCTGTGAAGGGGGCGGAGAGGAGATGAGGGGGCACTGTGAGTCAATGGAGATTGAAGAAATCAAGAGCTATTTCAGGTGTGAGGTCTCACCCTCCTTCGCAGGTTGAGTCCAGCACTGGTTTACAGAGTAAGTCTGCTCCCGCCCCTCACAGGGATAGCTCCAGCAGTTGAAGCGAAAGTGTGCAAAGGGACTGTACCTGAAAGGTCGTGAGGCGCAAGGGGCTGTACCTGACAAGGTCGTAAGGCTGCGGCGGAAGGAAGATGATTTTGCGGTTGGAGAAGCGCGATCGCACTCGCTTCTCAAGCAGCTGATCCGCGTCCTGAAGGGAGAGGAGGGGTGGGCACACGACGAATGCAAGAGAGCGAGTCCGCGTCCTGAAGGACCATACGAGGGATCCAAAGGACCAGGCAAGCAGCACGTGTGCATGAGAGAGTTACCAGGGTAAGGAGCATGTGCCTGGTCCAAAAGGCCAGGCAAGCAGCAAGGGTAACTTTCAGAAGATGCAGGTTTTGAGGCGCCTCAAACACAGAGTTACCACGCAGCAAAGATAGTTTCCAGAAGATGAAAATCCCGTGGAATGATCGAAAATCAGTCACAGACCTGAGAGGCGGAGACACCAATGACTGCCAAGTGTGTGTCGGGAGAATGCATGAGATCCAAGAGCAGGTAAAGTATTCCCTGTTTGCCCCTCTGTGGCAGGAATAGAGAGGGAGACGGAGGAAGGAGGGGGAGGAGGGAAGTGCACGGGAATTCTGATAGGGACGACGAGAAAGAGGCACATTGAAATCAACAAGAGAGTGCATGAGGTGCCACAACGTGCAGAATATTCCCTGCTTGCCGAGTTTTGAGTCGATTCAAAACTCGACTCATTACACGTGGATCAACAAGAGAGTGCATGAGGTGCCACAACGTGCAGAATATTCCCTGCTTGCCCCACTGTGGTGGGGAGAGGGAGAGAGGGAAGACAGGAGGAGGGAGGTGCATCTATTGGTGCAAATTGGTCGAATTCGTCATTGTGGTGCAAAGCACCACAATGAGCGAGCTTCTGGCTTCAGAGCAGAGTGACTCACAAAGGCGTTGGGAGATTATCAAGGAATAGCCTCATCACACAATAAGGTGCATTGAGGAGACTCACGGAAGCAGAGTGGTCGAATTCGTCGAGCACCACAACGAGCGATCTTCTGGCTTCAGAGCAGAGTGACTCAAAACGGCATTCGGAAATTGCTCGAGGAATAGCCTCATCACACGAGGAGGTGTACTGAGTGGGGAGACTCACAGAGGCAAAGTGGTCGAATTCGTCGAGCACCACAACGAGCGATCTTCTGGCTTCAGAGCACAGCCTGCCGAGCATTGTGTTGCGGTGATTGGTAAAAAAACAAAAGGATGAGGAGGGTTTTGGTGAGCTTCAGAACACAGCCTGCATGCAGAGCATTGTGGTGGGGTGAGTGCTAAAAAATGATGACGAGAGTTGACTTTTGAGTCAACTCAAAAGCTAAAAATAGATGACGAGGGTTTTCAGAAGCACGATGCGGAAGCAGCTGGCTTGGGAGCAAAGGGTGCAGAGCAGAGGAGGAGGATGAAAGAAGGAGAGGAAGCAGGCATGTGGGAGTGTGGCTTCTTGGGTGGACAGGATATCAAGAGGTGACAGGCTAGCAATCATGTGGATGTCACAGTGCAGCGCGGTGCAGAGCGGTGCAGCGCGGTGCAGTGCAATGTCTGATTGAGAAGACAAGAAGGAGGTGGCGGCTGACCGAGGGAGACAGAGTGAGGGAGGTCAAACCACCTGGGAGTCCTGACGCATGAAAAGCACCTGAAGGTGCACACAGGAACCTGAGCACCTGAACAAGCACCTGAAGGTGCAGTGCGGCACCTGAGTACCTGAGCACCTGAAGGGGAAGATGGGCACCTGAGGACGTGGTGAAGCATCCTGACGTTGTCAGAGTAGGAATGCTGGCGCGTGATTGGTGGCGGGGAGACGGCGGGGGGAACGAGGACAAGGAGTCAGATTGAGAGTTGCGATGCTGTGGGGAAGAGGAGGAGGTAGCGGTGTAGCATGTATTGTTTGGATTCAATTCAAGGACCGCTCGAGTACCAAGGAGAGGGTGTCGAGGTGGGGCAGCGAGGCTGACAGCTGGCGAGCCATTTCCTGGAGAGGACAGCACAGGGTGGGGATGGGGAGAGTGGAGAATGGCAGACAGTATGTGATTGCATGGAATGTGATTGCATGGATGGCACATGCGAGTGTGGAACGGCATGTGGGTATATGGCACGGTCATGGCATGACACAGGATGGCATGACACAGGATGGCATGACACAGGATGGCATGACACAGGATGGCATGACACAGGATGGCATGACACAGGATGGCATGACACAGGATGGCATGACACAGGATGGCATGACACAGGATGGCATGACACAGGATGGCATGGCACAGGATGGCATGACACAGGATGGCATGACACAGGATGGCATGAGACAGGATGGCATGGCACAGGATGGCATGGCACAGGATGGCATGACACAGGATGGCATGACACAGGATGGCATGGCACAGGATGGCATGGCACAGGATGGCATGGCAGAGGATGGCATGGCACAGGATGGCATGACATGACACAGGATGGCATGGCACAGGATGGCATGACACAGGATGGCATGACACAGGATGGCATGGCACAGGATGGCATGGCACAGGATGGCATGACACAGGATGGCATGACACAGGATGGCATGACACAGGATGGCATGGCACAGGATGGCATGACACAGGATGGCATGGCACAGGATGGCATGACACAGGATGGCATGGCACAGGATGGCATGACACAGGATGGCATGACACAGGATGGCATGACACAGGATGGCATGACACAGGATGGCATGACACAGGATGGCATGACACAGGATGGCATGACACAGGATGGCATGACACAGGATGGCATGACACAGGATGGCATGACACAGGATGGCATGACACAGGATGGCATGGCACAGGATGGCATGGCACAGGATGGCATGACACAGGATGGCATGGCACAGGATGGCATGGCACAGGATGGCATGGCACAGGATGGCATGGCACAGGATGGCATGGCACAGGATGGCATGACACAGGATGGCATGACACAGGATGGCATGACACAGGATGGCATGGCACAGGATGGCATGGCACAGGATGGCATGGCAGAGGATGGCATGACACAGGATGGCATGGCACAGGATGGCATGGCACAGGATGGCATGACACAGGATGGCATGGCACAGGATGGCATGGCACAGGATGGCATGGCACAGGATGGCATGACACAGGATGGCATGACACAGGATGGCATGGCACAGGATGGCATGACACAGGATGGCATGGCACAGGATGGCATGGCACAGGATGGCATGACACAGGATGGCATGACACAGGATGGCATGACACAGGATGGCATGACACAGGATGGCATGACACAGGATGGCATGACACAGGATGGCATGACACAGGATGGCATGACACAGGATGGCATGACACAGGATGGCATGACACAGGATGGCATGGCACAGGATGGCATGGCACAGGATGGCATGGCACAGGATGGCATGACACAGGATGGCATGACACAGGATGGCATGACACAGGATGGCATGGCACAGGATGGCATGACACAGGATGGCATGACACAGGATGGCATGACACAGGATGGCATGACACAGGATGGCATGGCACAGGATGGCATGACACAGGATGGCATGGCACAGGATGGCATGACACAGGATGGCATGGCACAGGATGGCATGACACAGGATGGCATGACACAGGATGGCATGACACAGGATGGCATGGCACAGGATGGCATGACACAGGATGGCATGGCACAGGATGGCATGACACAGGATGGCATGGCACAGGATGGCATGGCACAGGATGGCATGGCACAGGATGGCATGACACAGGATGGCATGACACAGGATGGCATGGCACAGGATGGCATGACACAGGATGGCATGACACAGGATGGCATGACACAGGATGGCATGACACAGGATGGCATGACACAGGATGGCATGGCACAGGATGGCATGCCACAGGATGGCATGGCACAGGATGGCATGGCACAGGATGGCATGGCACAGGATGGCATGGCACAGGATGGCATGGCACAGGATGGCATGGCACAGGATGGCATGGCGTGTTGATGAGCGCATCTTGAGAGCAGCACGGTCGTCAGAAGAATGCGTGCAGTGTATGGCACGGCATGTGATAATGTCAAATGTGATTGCATGGCACGGCAAGTGATTCTATGGCCTGTGGTTACAGAATACGGCACGGTGGTGGGCAGTGGGCGCACCTTGAGAGCAGCACGGTCGTCAGCATGCATGCGACCATCCAGATGTACCTGATGGTGCGATGGGGTGTGAAGCGGTGTGATGAGGTGTGATGGGTTAGGATGGGGTAGGATGGGATGGGATGGTGGGATTATGGGATGAGATGGGGTCTCATGACATTGCATGGCGTGGCAACGCATAGGTACTTGGATGGACGGTGCATGATGGGTCACCATCACAAGTGTGCCACGATTCGCCCTGAGAAACAGCACACGCCAGCACGTGGCAGCATGTGGCAGCACGTGGCAGCACGTGGCAGCATGTGGCAGCACGTGGCAGCAGGGGACTCACAGCGAGAAACGGTGGGGTGTGGGGTGACGCATGCAGGTCAGCCAACACACGCTGCAGCACCTGAGGGCGGCAGGCGAGGGTGGAGTGGGAAGCGGTGGGGAGGGATGGGGAGGGATGGTTTTGAGGCGCCTGAACGGCAGGTGAGCCAGCACCCGAGGCAAGGAGGGAGGTAGGGGGAGTTGGGTGGGGGGTTGAAAAGATGCACCTGAAAACCGCCCCTCAACCCAAGTGCACTGTAATGGAAGGGGCCAGCACACGAGATGGTAGCTGTGATACCACCAGAGTCTTTCCACACCCTCTCGGTCCTAGCAGCAGCAGCAGCAGCAGCAGCAGCAGCGAGAGGCAGAGCCCGTGGGACTTAAAGGGCAGCACAGCACATGGCTACTGCTGTAGGTAGCAAAGCGCATGACTCAAGACGACATGGCAAAGCAGGACAAGGCATGACTCCGAACTTACAAGTGTCTTGCCGCACCCTCTGGGTCCGAGAAGAAGCAGCGAGAGGCAGAGCCCGTCGCACGCCACGTCGCGCAGCATGCTGTGCAGCCGGCACCATGGAAGGAGGGTTTTAAGGGACTTCAAACACAACCCACAGCCCACGGCACTCACAAGTGTCTTGCCGCACCCTCTGGGTCCGAGAAGAAGCAGCGAGAGGCACAGCCCGTCGCACGCCACGTCGCGCAGCATGCCGTGCAGCCGCTCGCGATTGCTCTCGTTCTCCGCCGTCAATGGAACCTCTCTCATGCGCCTGATACTGTCGCTCAACGCACTCTCCGCGTTCTCCGCGCTTCCCCCGCTCTCCGCACACTCCGCGCCCTCCCTGGCCTCCGCGCACTCCGCTCGCTGTGCGCTCCCGACGTTCTCTCCGCGCTCTCCGCGGCTCGTCACGGCACTCGGCTGCCACGTCAGCCGCTCCTTCAGCACGCGCACCGCCATTGCCGCGTCGCTCTCCTCCATGGCCGCCGCGTTCGACGGCGCGTTTCGCGGCAGAACTACTACCGGCGCAGCTCAAATGCGGATATATCGAAGTCAAGGTGGCTCTAGACGCTTTCGAACTGTTTCCGGGTCGCCTCGCGCAGGTCTACTGCGGTCTGAAGGGTTACTTGGTCGAGAAACAGCGGCTGCTAGCCTGGGATTCAGGGGATTGGAATTAGAGAAACCCTAATTTGAGTTGGACGTAGGACTCTGAATTGGTAAAATTATGCAAATTTGGCACAAGTCATTCTGAATCTTCCAATTCAGAGCACTTCATATTCAAGAGATTTATGTGATTGCGACAAATCACCAGCCCCATTGTCCTTATCAACCATCAACCATAGCTGTCCTATCAGCGTTTAAACGATTCACCGTTCCCCGTGCGATCTTGTGTGCGACGTCGCCCGGCGACGAGCATGGACGCGGCGAATCTGAAGCTCGCGGAGGGGCTGGTGTCGCCGTCGTACGTGCGACAGGGCGCGCAGTCGCTCGCGCAGCGGCACAACATGGTGCGTGCGACTGCCACGTGGCATTCAGCCATAGCTGGTCCGTGTAGCCGTTTAGAATACCTCAGTAACCCTAATTGACATCACGACACCATGAAATCCTTGCTATACTCCCCTTCAGAAAGTAACCTGAATAAAATTGCATGTATGGCTGCCTGCCACGTGGCACATGTCAGGTGAAGAGCCTGTTATCGCAGAGGAAGCTCCCAAGGGACGGCTGGGATGACGACACGATCGAGATGCTGCTCAAGGTGAGGAGCAACTTATGGAGTGCAAGAGATGCTGCTTAGGGTTAGGAACAACCATTTCTTGCTTTCTCAGGCCTAGTGCTGCGTAAGGTGTGGAACAACCTATTTCTGCTGCTGCAATAGGTCGCTCACAATTGATTACTGCGGACAGCTATGGGTACTTGGTTTCCGTTTTGGGGCTATTCTACTAGCAGCAGATCCAAGGGAGGGATGGGCGTGGGGGAGAGCGAGGGCTTTTGATTCGACTCAAACAATCCCACTTCCATCCCATCCCATTGTCACAAATCACGCCATCAGGACCTGTCACTGATGGACAGCAGCGGGTTCAAGGGAAATGTGGGCATGGGGGAGAGGGAGGCGCGGTGTGCAAGTGGGCTGGTGAGGCGGCGACACTATGGCATGACACATGGCATGGGGCGGTCGGGGAACATTGCAGACGAGCAGCCTAAGGTGGGCTTGGGGTGTTTGAGGCCGCATTATGGCATTATGGCATGGCATTATGACATGGCACTTCGGCATGGCGCACGGCATGGGGCGATCGGGGAACATTGCGGACGAGCAGCCAAAGGTGTGCACTCATATGTCTCCATTCCGTCGTGATACCTACCATGCCCGGTCCCATGTCCCATGTACCATCTTCCATGTCTTATGTACCATCTTCCATGTCTTATGTACCATCTTCCATGTCTTATGTACCATCTTCCATGTCTTATGTACCATCTTCCATGTCTTATGTACCATCTTCCATGTCTTATGTACCATCTTCCATGTCTTATGTACCATCTTCCATGTCTTATGTACCATCTTCCATGTCTTATGTACCATCTTCCATGTCTTATGTACCATCTTCCATGTCTTATGTACCATCTTCCATGTCTTATGTACCATCTTCCATGTCTTATGTACCATCTTCCATGTCTTATGTACCATCTTCCATGTCTTATGTACCATCTTCCATGTCTTATGTACCATCTTCCATGTCTTATGTACCATCTTCCATGTCTTATGTACCATCTTCCATGTCTTATGTACCATCTTCCATGTCTTATGTACCATCTTCCATGTCTTATGTACCATCTTCCATGTCTTATGTACCATCTCCCATGTCTTATGTACCATCTTCCATGTCTTATGTACCATCTTCCATGTCTTATGTACCATCTTCCATGTCTTATGTACCATCTTCCATGTCTTATGTACCATCTTCCATGTCTTATGTACCATCTTCCATGTCCCATGTACCATCTCCCATGTCCCATACACCCCCACCCATCCACCAGGCAGCAGGGTCAACGCTAGCATGTCGTCTCACCAGTCTGTTCCGGAAGGATGCCCTCTCGCTCGCAGGTCTCCAAAAAAGTCCTCCATGTGACTTCTGCTCCCCCTGTGCCACTGTGTCCCATGTACCATCCCAATCCACCAGGCAGCTGGGTCAACGCTGGCATGCCGCCTCACCAATCTGCTTGTCAAGGACGCCCTCTCTCTTCCAGGCCTCAAAGCTTCTCCCATATACGCGCTGTGTGTGCTGTGTGCGCTGTGCCATGTGCCATGTGCCATGTGCCATGTGCCATGTGCCATGTGCCATGTGCCATGTGCCATGTGCCATGTGCCATGTGCCATGTGCCATGTGCCATGTGCCATGTGCCATGTGCCATGTGCCATGTGCCATGTGCCATGTGCCATGTGCCATGTGCCATGTGCCATGTGCCATGTGCCATGTGCCATGTGCCATGTGCCATATGCCATGTGCCATGTGCCATGTGCCATGTGCCATGTGCCATGTGCCATGTGCCATGTGCCATGTGCCATGTGCCATGTGCCATGTGCCATGTGCCATGTGCCATGTGCCATGTGCCATGTGCCATGTGCCATGTGCCATGTCCCGTCCACCATCTCAATCCACCAGGCAGCGGGGTCAACACTGGCATGCCGCCTCACAAACCTACTCGTGAAGGACGCCCTCTCCCTCGCAGGCCTCAAAGGTAACTCCCTATTTTATATGAGGCGATTGGTTTTCATCGGTCTTTGAGTCGACTCAAAAACCGCCTCACGAACCTACTCGTTAAGGACGCCCTCTCCCTCGCAGGCCTCAAAGGTAACTCTCTATTTTATATGAGGCGTTTGGTTTTCACCGGACTGATCGTGCTCCATGTGTATGCTCGTGCATGTATGTCACCGTGCACATATGTCGTCCTTATGTGGCTGTCTGTCCCCCATCCGTCAGACATATCGGCAGTGACGGTGCTGCCGGTGGCAACAGGCATGGCCCTCACTCTCTCTCTCCTCGCTCTCAAAGCCAGCAGACCTGCCGCACAGTGAGTGAGTGATGGAGCGAGGGAGGGAGGGAGGGAGGGAGGGAGGGAGGGAGGGAGGGAGGGAGGGAGGGAGGGAGGGAGGGAGGGAGGGAGGGAGGGAGGGAGGGAGGGAGGGAGGGAGTGAGGGAGGGAGGAAGGGAGGGAGGGAGGGAGGGAGGGAGGGAAGATGGGAGGGAGGGAGGGAGGGAGGAAGGGAGGGAGTGAGGGAGGGAGGGAGGGAGGGAGGGAGGGAGGGAGGGAGGGAGGGAGGGAGGGAGGAAGGAAGGGAGTGAGGGAGGGAGGGAGGAAGGAAGGGAGTGAGGGAGGGAAGGATGGAATCTGTTGACTGAGCAAATAGGCATGTGCCATCTGCATGCTGTTCAGTGTTTCCTATGTGCTGTGACGCGGCACACTCATGGCATGGGATGGCATGGCATGGCATGTGCCCTATGGCATGGCGTGGCAGGTACGTGCTATGGTCTCGCATCGACCAGAAGACATGCCTCAAGTGCATCGTCACTGCTGGCCTCACTCCCGTGGTGGGTGAATGAAGAGTGAAGCACCAAGTTCCCACTCAGAAATACTCAAACACACAACACAAGTACAGAGCTTTGTCCCACCCACAACACACAAATACATGCTCTGGGCCCACCCGCATGCCTCGTCACTGCTGGCGTCACTCCCATGGTGGGTGAATCAAGCATGTGTTGATATGCACCAAGTTACTCAGTTCACGAGACACACGTGCTATGGTCCGTGCTACTGTGGTTGCACCCACATACACATGCCTGAAGTGCGTCCTCACTCCTGCTGGTCCGAACCTGCTTTGCACTCCGAACTGCAAGAGTGAGACCTCATACACTGCTGGCCTCACTCCTGCAGTCCGAACCCCCTCCCCCGCAACCCATCCCAGGTGGTTCCTCTGCACAAGGACGGAGACCAGCTGTGCACGGACCTTGCAGCCATGGAAAGGGAGGTGCACTCCCGAGGGGCGCACGCACAGGACAGCAAGGTCCGTGCACTCCCCAAATGTCCCAAGGAACAGGCCCTTGGCACACATACACCCCCAACCCCCCTCTCCTCAACCCATCCCAGGTGGTTCCCCTGCGTCAGGACGGAGACCAGCTGTGCACGGACCTTGCGGCCATGGAAAGGGAAATAAATTCTCGAGGGGCCGACAGCATCCTCTGCGTGCTCTCAACCACCTCCTGCTTCGCTCCCAGGTGATTTTCCAGGCTTATTGAAAGCGCCCGACTTCTCGAAAGAGCTCCTGACAGCGCTGAATCGATTGCCCGCCTCTGTTCCTGTCTCTCCATCCCCCGCGTCATCAACAACGCATTCGGCGTGCAGAGCGCTGCCATCAGCGCTCACATGGACTGGTATCCCCTGCCGCCTCCTGCTGCCCCCATCAGGGCTCCTGATACTGTCCAGCCCATGGCACGCAGAGTCAGAGTCAAGTACGGCGTGCAGAGCGCTGCTATCAGTGCTGCCATCACACGAGCTCTGTCATCCTCTCACCACGTCCCTCCCACTCACCCCTGTCAGGGCTCCTGATAACGTCGAGCCCATGGCACGTCTCTGCCACAGTCTCTCCATCCCACACGTCATCAACAACGAGCATGGCGTGCAGAGCGCTGCCATCAGCGCTCACGTCACGTGAAGTGCTGCCCCCTGCATCCCGTCTCCTGCTCCCATCCCTCTCAGAGCTCCTGATCATGTGGAATCTATTGCTCGCCTCTGTGCTCGTCTCTCCATCCCCCACGTCATCAACAACGCATACGGCGTGCAGAGCGCTGCCATTAGTGCTGCCATCACACGCGCATGGAGGAGGGGGCGGGTGGACGCAGTGGTGCAGAGCACCGATAAGAACTTTCTTGTTCCGGTCGGTGGGGCTGTTGTTGCCGCTGGTCCTGGGCGGTCAACACTGGTCAATGCAGTCAACGCCTCGTACCCCGGTGGGTGGGTGGAATTAGATGGACGAGGGGCCATGGAGGAGGGGGCTGGAGGTGTGGAAAAGGGAGAGGGGGGGTGGGGGGAGGAAAGGGCCGTGGCAGAGCGGGCATGGAGGAAGGGGCGTGGAGGAAGGGGCGTGGAGGAAGGGGTATGGAGGAGAGCGACTGCTGCAGTAGTGCAGCAACCTTCTTCCCCACGCCTTGCACTTTACATGCCAAACCCATGCCCCATCCCACACCCCATCCCACACCCCATCCCACACCCCATCCCCCATCCCATCCCCCAGGTCACCCCACCCCAGGCCGTGCCTCCATATCGCCCATCCTAGACGTCCTCATGACCCTCCTCTCCCTGGGGGCGAGCGGGTGGCAGGCGCTGCTGCCGCTGAAGGAGCAACTCACTCCTTTACCCCGCCCCACCTCACCACAACCCACCACACTCCACCCCACCCCACCCCACCCCATCCCACCCCAGGCCGGGCGTCCATCTCGCCCATCCTAGACGTCCTCATAACCCTTCTCTCCCTGGGGGCGAGCGGCTGGCAGGCGCTGCTGCAGGAGCGAGAGCAGCTCTTTCCTTACCTGAGGGAGAAGATGCGAGGGGTGGCAGAGAGGCATGGTGAGTGGTATTAGGTCTGGCAATGGCAGTCGCTGCTGCAACAGCGAGAGAAGCTCTTTCCTTACCCGAGGGACAAGATGCGAGGGGTGGCAGAGAGGCATGGTAATTGGGCATAGGTGGAAACCACACAGTTGACGGCACTGCCTGGATGGGAGTGGCTTTTCGCCTGAGAGGGGATGGTGCTGCTGCAGGAGCGAGAGCAACTCTTCCCTTACCTGTGCGAGCAGATGCAAGGAGTGGCAGAGAGGCATGGTGAGTGGTATTAGGTCTGGCAATGGCAGTCGCTGCTGCAGCAGTGGGAGCAGCTCTCTCCATACCTGAGGGAGAAGATGCGAGGGGTGGCAGAGAGGCACGGTGAGTGGTGTGGTGTTATGTGGAAACGGCAGTAGCCTATCTGGTGGTCTCTGGTGTATGTACAGCATCTCTGTGCTGTGCTGCAGCAGAGGGAGCAGCTCTTTCCTTACCTGAGGGAGAATATGCGAGGGGTGGCAGAGAGGCACGGTGAGTGGTGTGGTGTTATGTGGAAACGGCAGTAGCCTATCTGGTGGTCTCTGGTGTATGTACACCATCTCTGTGCTGTGCTGCAGCAGAGGGAGCAGCTCTTTCCTTACCTGAGGGAGAAGATGCGAGGGGTGGCAGAGAGGCACGGTGAGTGGTGTGGTGTTATGTGGAAACGGCAGTAGGCTGCCCGGTACTGTCTGGTTTAGCAATGGCAGTCGCTGCTGCAGGAGCGAGAGCAGCTGTTTCCTTACCTGAGGGAGAAGGTGCAAGGGGTGGCAGAGAGGCTTGGTGAGAAGTCTTAGCAACAGTAGAAGCCTCCCCACCACATATCTCCTCCCCCTTCCCCTCGTGCCATCCTTGACATATACAGGAGAGAGGCTGCTGCAGTCGCCACACAACCCCATCTCCCTAGCCATCTCCCTCTCCTCCCTCATCAAATGTCACCTTTTCCCTGTCACACCTCCTCGTATACCCTCCCCCTCCCCCTTGTGCTAAAACTTATCTCTACAGGAGAGCGGCTGCTGCAGTCGCCAGACGACCCCATCTCCCTCTCCTTCCTTACTAGATGTCACCCCCACCACGTATCACCTCCCCCACGTACCACCTCCTCCTCCCCCTTATCTCTACAGGAGAGCGGCTGCTGCAGTCACCAGACAGTCCCATCTCCCTAGCCATATCCCCGTCCTCCCTCATCAAATATCACCACCCCCACATATCACCTCCCCCTCCCCTGACAGGAGAGCGGCTGCTGCAGTCGCCAGACAATCCCATCTCCCTCTCCTTCCTTACTAGATGTCACCTCCCCCACGTATCACCTCCCCCACGTATCACCTCCCCCATGTATCACCTCCCCCTCCCCCATCCCTTAACAGGAGAGCGGCTGCTGCAGTCGCCAGACAACCCGATCTCCCTAGCCATCTCCCTCTCCTCCCTCGTCCCCGCTCACGCACATGCTGACGTGGCATGCGCTGCTGCTGACTCAGCACCGCCAGCCGTGTCAACGCCAGCTGTTGCTGCTGCTGCTGACATGGCTGGCTCGGAGCCCTCGTTGACAACAACAGGGGAAACATCAGAGGAGCTAGCAGCTTCTGTGTTGTTGGCACCATCAGCAGCAGTATCATCAGCAGCACCACCACGAGTAGCATTACCACCAGCAGCAGCAGCAAAAGCAGCAGCAGCGGGTGTGGAGCAGAGGGAGACATTCGACTCGGGAGAACAAACCAGCTCACCAGCAGCAGCACCAACAGAATCAGCACCACCACCTCCAAAACCACCAGCAGCAACAGCAGCAGCAGCAGCGGGTGTGGAGCAGAGGGAGACATTCGACTCAAGACAACTCACCATCCCACCGGGAGCAGCCGCCTCACCCGCCACTGCCGCTTCTCTCGCCTCGTTTCTCTCCATCCCACCAACCCAAGCACCTGCATCCCTGCGTGATCCCTCTATAAAGACCTCGTCGCCCTCCACCCCCCCACCACACGCGTCCTCCACCCCCCCACCACACACGTCCTCCAACCCCCCACCACACACGTCCTCCACCCCCCCACCACACACGTCCTCCACCCCCCCACCACACACGTCCTCCACCCCCCCACCACACACGTCCTCCACCCCCCCACCACACACGTCCTCCACCCCCCCACCACACACGTCCTCCACCCCCCCACCACACACGTCCTCCACCCCCCCACCACACACGTCCTCCACCCCCCCACCACACACGTCCTCCACCCCCCCACCACACACGTCCTCCACCCCCCCACCACACACGTCCTCCACCCCCCCACCACACACGTCCTCCACCCCCCCACCACACGCGTCCCCCACCCCCATCCCCTCTGCTGAGGCCACCTCTACCACCACCACTAAAGCGGAGACCACAAAAGCGCCCCTCAAGTCACCACCACAAGCCCCCCCCATCACGTTCCTGGGCTCGATGCTCTTCTCACGGTGCGTCTTTGCCTTTTTCGCCTCCCCTTTTCCATTGAGTTTTTCTTGATATAATCAATGTTAATCTCGGCCAAATTGTTTGTGCATCAAGTTTGTATCGAGTTATTCTGCAATGAATCATTCTCTAGCAAGTCAGTAAAAATGAAAAAAAACAAAAACAAAAACAAAAAAACAAACAAACAAAGAAAAAATCACATCTTGCTATTCCTCACTCCTTTCTCAGCCCCTCTTCCTCAGCCCCTCAGCCCCTCTTTCTCAGCCCCTCTTTCTCAGCCCCTCTTTCTCAGCCCCTCTTTCTCAGCCCCTCTTTCTCAGCCCCTCTTTCTCAGCCCCTCTTCCTCAGCCCCTCTTTCTCAGCCCCTCTTTCTCAGCCCCTCTTCCTCAGCCCCTCTTTCTCAGCCCCTCTTTCTCAGCCCCTCTTTCTCAGCCCCTCTTTCTCAGCCCCTCTTTCTCACACCCTTTTTTGCCCCTGTTTGTCTTACCCTCTTTCTTGCACCCTCTTTCTCTCGCCTCCCATCGCCCATGTCAGCTTTGTGTCAGGTTGCCGAGTCGTGCCGCAAGGTGTGAAGCAAACCATAGGAGGCGTGGCACTGCAAGGATTCGGATCATCTTATGATAGGTACACATCCTGAACGTAACACCTTGTCATCCGTGTTACGTATGTATCAAGTCAAATCCTGGTTACGCTGTGCTGAGTGTGTGCAGCTCATTTTATTGCTACCGACATTTGTTCTGTGCTTTGTCACAAACCCTGCAACCTATATCACTGGAACGGCATTAGCTGCTCCAGTACGGTTTTCATTGTTGACTCAAAACACATTTACCTTTCCATTTCTGTTGCTGCCTATCTCCTGTGTGTGAGGAAGCTACTCTGTACCGTATCTCACGGCAGCTGCTGCTATAGGAGGTTCAAAGGAAGAGGTGGACGACTTTATTGTCCGCCTTAATACCTGCCTTGTTGATTTCAAAAAGAAGTTGCGGAGTTCCCAAGGGCTGGAAAATCCTAAACCATAGACCCGGAGTTGATACTCTAAACCCAAAACCCGGTTTAGTCTGGCCAAGTCACAGTCAAGTTGACGTAAGAACAATATACGGTGATAATGGTGTAGTGCATTTATCTCGAGTGTTGTACGATCTCTGTTAGCCATTGAACATAGGTTTTATAAGCACTGCCTCGGTCTACATCGAATCGAATGGGGGTCCACTTAAAACCAGGGTCTCACGTAAGAGAAATCGTGAACAGCTGCAAAACAAATGAAGCTAAGTCACCCTGTTTGAGGTGGCGAAGTCCAGAGGTTGGTTTGGCATTTGACTGTGCGACACCTCCCGTTTTTGCCTGTGATGCAATTGCAAAACATTTTGATGGTACATGAGACTGACAGGATGCTCGAACATTTTGCGGGTGTTTTAGCTTTGGCACTGAACCAATTTCCGTGCCTAGATGGTTCGGACACAAACTGCGATTTGTTTTTCCTTCGCTCCCCTCGTCACACTGCTCGTCATTCTTTCCACCTCGCCAGCCAATCCTAACCAGGGTGAAGTCATCAACTGCAAAACAAATGATCTACGTGAGACCCTGGTTTTAACTATCAAAGGGGGATGGGAGGAGGAGTACCTAACCAAACATGCCATGGAAACCTCCTAGTTGTTTCAACACTATCAAGTCACCACCTCCATCCCCCTTTTGAATTTGTACGTCCCTTCTTTAGGATAATATACGCTAGAACCATCTACAAGCATCACCGTTACCAGTATGCCAGATACTATATGCAGTGCCCGTTGACCATGCGTTGTACCACAAGCCTTTGTTTGCCTTAGTCTTATGCATGTTCTATTTGTGTCACTGTGTAATTCCCTCAAATCTTTTGTTAACCAGTTTATTTGAGGATTCTTGAACATGGAGGTATTGGGCCACTGTCGCTTTTCTGTTTTATAATCAGAAGTCTGGTGATACATGGCTCAAGGAGAGGTATCAAGAGGAAAAAAGGCCCAAGAGAAAGAGATGGATAGTGTCAAGAATGAAAGTGTTGGTTTGACTAAGGTTGGTTGGGGTACATAAACCTAACCCTAACAGTTGTACCCCCTATAATACACATCACTAAGACTATAATATTAGACACACCCCCATAGTCTAAGTGAGGGGTGTTAAGCTAAACCAAGAGTGTACGGTCACAAGACCAGTCACAAAGAAACAAAGCTCAGGGTGGATCACAATGTCACCACACACTCCGAGTACAAGCAAAAGAGCCACAAGGCCAGTTCAAGAGTTCACAGTACAAACAAAGCAAGCAACGAACTCAAGACTACGCAAGGCGAGAACCAGTGTCAACGAGACTTAAATGCACACAACACCTCTGGTTGTCACAAGGCGGAAGCGCCTTGGTGAAGATGTCTGCAGTGTTGGCCTCGGACTCAACAAAGTCAAAGCGAGCATGTCCACGCCTCTGCAACTCCCACAGAAGAAAGTACCTGACGTTGATGTGTTTCACCCTGCTCTCCATTTGCGGCTCTCGACAGAGGAGAATCGACGCCTTGTTGTCAGTGAACAAGGTCGGTGCAGAGCTCGGCCGCTCACCAAGGTCGGTGAGCAAGAAGGTCAACCAACGCAGCTCCTGTGCAGCCATGGTTCCAGCGCAGATCTCAACCTCAACAGTCGAGGTCGAGACCAAGGAGGAACGTATAGACCTCCACGAAACAGCTCCAGAGCCCAGGCTGAAGCAGTTCCCTGAATAGACATGTGAGTCTCGGCGTCGTCAGCGTAAAAAGAGTCACAGTGTCCAGTAAGTACCACAGACTGCTGCCCTACAAGAACCAGCCCCACGCCTGATGTCGTCGCTAGGTACTTCGCCACCCTCACAGCAGCTGTCCAGTGAACTGGACGGTATTTCCCTGGCGCAACAAAGTGAGCAAGGATGCTGATAGGGAAGGCGAGGTCCAAGCGAGTACAAGTCATAAGGTACATGAGGCAGCCCACAAGCTCTGCGTAAGGACCACTAGGCTCAAACGGCTCGTAAGGGAAGGGTCCAGTGAGTCTGTGGTCAACAGCAAGAGGTGTGCGCTGTACTATGGAGTGCTGAAGCTCGAACCGCTGAAGAACCTGCTGCACCATGTGTGACTGTGAGAGTGTAATGGTGCGAGCGACTCTGTCCCTGGTGATCTGCAGGCCAAGGTAGTGGCGCAGCTCACCAAGGTCAGTGCACGTGTGTCTCTTCTGCAGTTCGCACTTCACGTCAGCCAAAGCAACCCTGTCAGCAGTGGAAAAAACCAGGTCGTCGATGTAGACTAGTACAAAGAACGGTGTGGAGCCACGCCGAACAAACAGCGACGGGTCGGCAGAAGACGGCTGGAAACCGAGGTCAGAAAGGGTAGAGCGCAGGGTGTCGTGCCACTCACGAGGAGCCTGACGGAGACCGTAGACCGGTCGCCTCAGCCTCCACTGGGTCCCAGGAGGGAAAGTGCTAGTGAAGGCAGAGGGACGACGCAGCCAGACCTCCTCGTGTAGGCTACCCTAAAGGAAGGCAATGGAGAAGTCGAGAGAGTGTAACTCGTAGTCTCTCTTATGCGAGGCTACGTAAGTGCGAGGAGTCCGTATGTCAAGGGCGTCGGGGTCTCCCTTATGGGCGAGCAGCATGGCACAGAGATGAGGGGAAGCGGCTGCCAGGAACTCCAGCTCAAACTGCCTGACCTCTAGGGCGTCACAGCCAAGGGCAGACTCACCCCCGACGGCCAGAGGACTGGTAGGCGGAGCAGCCACAAGACTGGTGGCGTAGTCAAGGCGACGAGTAGAGGCAAACTCAGTGACTGCGGCAGTAAGGGCAGAGACAGAGGACAGAGATGCACGAGGGTCGGTAACAAGAGAACACGAGAGAGAACAGGACAGTACGTGCGGTAGTAGTCCGTGACAGGAGTAGAGAGGGAAGCAGTGAGAGCCAACTCAGGAGGAGAAGGAAGTACTGAAGGAGACGAGCGAGGCGGACTAGAACAAAACAGGGCAGTACGAAGGTCAGAGAAGGAAATAGGGGACGAGGGACGAGCACGAGGAGAGCGACGCGAAGGCCAAGTGTGAGGAAGAGGAGGGGACAACGGAGGCAGAGTAGGAGGGAAAACAGCTGGGGAGGGGTCAGGAGGAGGAAGCGGAGGACCAGAGACGGGAGGAGAGGGGGAAGGGAAACCGAGGGTCCGAAGACCAGAGACAAGTGGAGGAGGTGGAGGCTGCTGCTGCAGCTGCTGCGGCTGCTGCTGCTGCTCCGGCTGCTGCTGCTGCCGCTGCTGCTCCGACTGCTGCTGCTACTGCTGCTACTGCTCCTCCAGCCACTGTAGCTCCAGCTGCCGCCGCTCCAACTCTCTCTCCTCTCGCTCCAACTCCAGCTGCTCCTCACGTGCACGGCGAACACGGGCCTGGTGCCTGGTCGGATAGGGTGGGGGGGAGGAGTGGTGTCCGGAGCGGCGGTAGCCCCAGGACCGCTCTCCAAAGCACCAATCGCACCACCCCCAGAGTCAACACCACCAACAGCAGCGCGGCCAGTCCCAGACTCTCCAGGCCCCGCAGTGGGCGCACCCGCACCCCCAGGCGTAGCACTCCCAGGGACAGCACCACTAACACCAGCTCCCCGAAGATTAGAGTCGCCTGCAGTCATAGGCTCAGCTCCAACTCCTGCACCCCCAAAACCAGGACCACGCACAGGTACGCTCTCAACTCCAACTCCTCGAGAGCTAGCACCTCCAGGGTCCTCGCCACGAACACCAACTCCCGCAGGGTCTGCAGTAGGCAGTGAGGAGGACTACGGAGAAGGAGGCTGCACCTGAGGGGCTACCGAGGGGGGAGGGGTAGCGTGGGACACACCTGACGGGGCTGGACCAGGGGGGGGAGGCTGTACCGGGGGAGCAGGAGGGGGAGCTGAAGTCAAGAAGAGAGGGGGAGGAGGAACCGGGAGACTCGACAGGGGTACCAGACGTAGTAGGGGACGGAC